CGTGCTGTTGTTCCTCCAGGAGCATTGCCTATCGCTGGCATCACCTGAACACACTTGTACTACGTGTTCGTCGCCCCCTTATGAGCGACGCGCGCGGTCAGAATCTCATAGCACATATGCTCGTTGACAGGGCGGGCGCTGTCTGGCCATACCACGTGAGTAACGTTCTACTCGTATATGTTGTACTGCATTCTCGGTTCGGAATTGCTCATCGGGTGGGTTGCATAGTACAAGTATGTCATTATCAGATACGTCTTGATGCCTCGCGTATCCCCTGCAGCCCACCCAGACACGATGCCCGCGCGATGTTTTTTCCTCCCTTCAGTCACGTTGTTTTGCTTCGTTGAAATATGGGCGACACTAGAATGATTGACCCCAGTCCTGCCTCCCGCAATCACGTCACGGTGGTCGTCCCGTCGCGACCACGGGCGTCTTGTAGCGCTCACAAGATATTGTGATGTTCGCACAGGCATGACGTGGTGCTCACAGGGATGCTATAGCATCTGCGAGGGACTGCTTCGCTCATGCGCTTGTGGTGTTCTCAGGGACGCAGTGCTGCTCTGATGCTCAGAGGCACTGATGTGGCGCTCGTATCGCGGCGCTCACTTTGGCCACCGCCTTGCTGTGTCCAGGCATTGTGCTGCGCGCGTGCGTGCTGCTGTGCGCAAGCGCCGCAGTGTTCACAGCCGCTGTGGTGCACGCAGGTACTGCGGGCGGACCAGACCCAGGGGCAGGACCCGACACGATCTTCCGAAGTCTGGGCCCCGTCGGGACCCTGGGGGTTTCACACAGGCTCTGTGGAGCACACGGGCGTGTGCGCAGGCACTCTGGTACACGCAGGCGCCGGGGGCTTTGGTGCGCACGGCTGCTGTGGTGGTGCAGAACTCTTGTGGTGCACTGGCGCTGTTGTGCACCAAGGCGCTGCGGTGGACAGCACCCCAGACAAGACAATCGAATACTCTCATGCCAATTTACATCGTGGATGTGGCACGTCCGGGCCTGCCACGGTCTGGAATGGGTGTTCTCCGTCGGGAACTTGGGGGTTACGCAGGTGTTGTGGTGTACACGGGCGTGTATATACACAGTCATTGAGAACGCAGGGGCCAGGGGTTGGTGCATGCGGCTGCTGTGGTAGCGCAACCATCGTTTTGTACACTGGTGCTGAGGTGCACGAATGCACCACGGGCCCCAAATGCAGGGCGATCCGTGCTCCGGGCCATCAATATCTGTAATCACACATACCTCGCATATTGAATTTGGCGGCTTTGGGCGTACCACTATTTTCTAGAGTTTGGGTCCCGTCGGGAGCTTGGGGGTGTACACAGGTTTTGTTGCGTACACATCCGCTGTATTAATGAGTCGCAGGCGCCAGGCGCTGTGGTGCCCACGCCTCATGCGGTTGCACACCGTGATGTACACCGGCGATTTGGTGCACGCAAGCAATTTCGGCCCAAAAATGTGAGGACCTTTTATCTGGGCCAGAAACATCGAGCATCCCAGTGAACTCTATCTTGAATCTGGCAGGTTCGGACCCACCACGGGTTCCCGGAGTTTAGGCCTTGTCCATATCTCGGAGGTGTACGCAGACTCTGTGGCGCACACAAGCGTTGCGGTGTACGCAGGGGGCCAGGCGTTGTGGTGCACACGGCTGCTGCGGTGCACGCATGAGTTGCTGTGTGTTTGTACGAGGGCCTTGTGGTGTTCGCGTGCCTTGTTGTGTGCACGGTGGTGCACACCAGCGAATTCCATTGCATCCACCACTGCTAGCATTGCTGCCACTACCACTGCCACTATGGAGCGGCCCTCGGCCCAGTCCGTGCCCGGGTCGCGGGTCTGCGGCCTCCTGGAGGGTCGTTGGGATCTCGTCGAGGCCTCTCGGGGGCCTCCTGGAGGCAGTCGGAGGCCCCCGGGGGGGCCGTTCAGCGGGCCCCGCGTGGCCCCGCACAGGTCACGCGGCAGCTCCCGCGGGAGCCGACGGGGGCAGGCGGGGAGCCCCTTGGAGGCTCGCGAGTTCGGGGCCCGGGGCGGCCCCCGGGCCCCTTTGCCAAGGGCTCCCTCGAGGGCGCGAAGTTATTCGCGCTTCGCGCTTCGCGGTCCTCGTTTCTTCTCCCCCTCCTCCTCGTCCTCCTATTCTCCCTTTGGGAGGGCGGCGCGAGAGCGCGAAGTTATTCGCGCTTCGCGCTTCGCGGAGCGCGAAGCGCGAAGTTGGGAGCCCTAGTTTGCACAGAATCCTCCGGATGCGGTCCAACATACACTGCGCCCCACAGACAGCCAAGCACAGATTTTGCCAGAAACCCACGGCTTCGCGCCCGCGTTCGCCGAGATGTGTGGAGCAGTCTGTGTTGGGCAATCTCCGTGGTGCAGTGTATGCCGTGCAACCTACGCGGTGCAGTGCATGATGTGCAACTTGTGTGGCGCAATCGTGCAATCTATGTGGGCCAACGTCTGTGGCGGCGACGGGCGGCGACGAGGCTGCGACAGGGCGGCGACGGCGACAACATAGCCGCCAAACTGCCACATCGGCCCAGACGACGGGCGGCGACGTGGCGGCGAGGGTTTTGCGGCGGTGACAATATAGCCGTCAGACCGCCACACTGGCCAAGACGACGGGAGGTTACGAGGCGGCGACGGTGCGGCGACAGCGACAATTTATCCGACAAAACGCCACAGCAGCCCAGTTCCTTAGAGCAGAGGTAAGAACCCCTACGTGCAAGCACTGTTTGGGAAAAGGTGCGCAATATGTGTTGCAGTTCTTGCCTCCATAGCGACGTGTAATGGTTTGGAGGCAGCGATGCAGCTGTATTTCAAGGCAAAGGTTGACAAGGCTCATGTCGCGCCATTCCTGGACAAAGCAGTCGTTTAGATCGAGCGAGCGGATTGCCTCTCGTACAAGTAGCTCCTGTGCCACAACCCAACATTGGATGTCATTGTGCGCATGGGCTGGTGTGGCCGAAGGGATTCGCATTGACTGGTTTCAATGCGTCCTAGTACGGATGTGAATGTGCTTCTTTGCATCGAGGGCATACTGTGCATGTTTATAGTAACGTTGCCGCGGACCAGGGTTACGACTACGGGACAATTTTCATATGAGGACGGCTGATTTCCATTGTCTTTTGTCAGCTTGAATGGTGCACAGTCCCTGGATTCGACGTAGGGTGATCCAAACGAAGTTGTGCCGGTCGCAGTTTTTTTTTCATATTATTATATATATTGGTGGGTATTAATTTCGAAAGGTCATCGGTGGCTATTCTGTTTCAAGGAGCACCTGGCGTACATAGAAGAGCAGACTGCACGAGAGTTATAGTAAGTTGCAGGTAAATGTGACAAGCGTGCATGTGATAAGTTGCGCAACAGGTGCAACCCCAATGATTAATGTCTTAGCATAAAAAAGGTCCAGGGCAATGCTTGGGCAGTGGGGTCCGTCACACGAGCAACTGATTTCGTGATCATGCAAGATGGCTATTGCCCCGCGCGGGCTCCAGAAACAAGCGCCGTTGGATACTCCTGAGCTCCTGGGACGCACCCTGAGCCACAATCGCACCGTGGCATCGTGCACGTGACGTCCTGTTTGTCGTGCGGAGCTCAGCCGTGCGTCCCTGAAGTGCTCCTGCCTTTGTGCCGCCACTCGCTGCTCCAAGATTGACTCGCTGCTACCCTTTCCTCGTTTTCCGCTTTTGGGGGGCCTCCTGGGCGGCCCTCGTCGCCACCGCTGTATTCGCTTCGGAATACTGGTCAGAAAGCACCCTGGGAGAGGTCCGGGGAGTAGCGGGATCGGCACCTTTCGGTTTTCCAGGAAACGTAGACACGCGTTCTGAAAAAGAACGGCTCGGGCTGGAGAGCGCCATACGAATCATGCGTTCTCGCCTTCCCTGTGGCGCTGGCCCGTCTCGCCGCGGTGGCAGAGCAGATTTGCTTCTGATTTGTTTGGTTTTTCGGTTTTCACATTGCAAATGGGGCGCGCGCCTGGTGTCCAGAAGGTGCGCTGGGGGCGACCAAAACAACGCCCGGAAGAGCGCCTGGGAGCGCGCTGGGGCGAGCGCCCGGGCGAGCCCAGAAGAGCGCCGAGAACAGCGCCCAGGAAAGCGCCATCAAGAGCGCCCAGAATATGGCCCAGACGCGAATCTGGAAGAGCGCCCGAAAGAGCGCCCGGAAGTGCGCCCAGCAGCGACCGATTTTGCGACCGATTTCGCGTCCGATTTCGCGTCCGATTTTTTGTGTGTCGATTCAAGACTAAAGCAAATCAGACGCAAATCAGATTTAAGATCGGACAAAAACCGGACGCACATCGGATACAAACTCGGGCGCAAATCGGACGCAACATCGGACGCAAAATCGGGAACAACATCGGACGCTGATGGCGTCGACCATGCCTGGGCGGATGCGGCAGCGTATCGCGGTGCATCATGGCGAGGTCTGGTAGGGTGTGTATTGCGGACCCATGCGCGGAATTCAGCGTTGGAGTTTTAGCGATGTGGCGAACGACAAACTGCGTTATCGCGTTGTGTCCAGGTCGGGCCAAACCGACAGAAAAATCAGATCGCCGCTTCTGCGGCCGTTTTTCAGGTGTCTTGCCCCCTGGGCTCCTAGTGAGCCCCGCTCAGAGCCAGGCTCCACGGGGCACCTTATGCGGCAACATCCCGACGAGCTCTCCAAACCGCGGCCGAGCGGAGGAGGAGAAGGAGGACGACGATGACGAAGAATACGACGACGACGACTCCGCCGCAGCCGCGCCGCCGCCGCCGACGACGACGACGGCGACGATGACGAAGCGTCCCGACGTCGCCTCGAAGCATGGAAGTGCAGCTCAGAAGTGCAGAAATGCTCCTCAGGCGTTGCCCCGTCGGGTCGGATTTTCGGGGTGCCTGGTCGGCAGTCCTCAGGGGCGACTCGCGCTCGATGGGGATGCCAAGGCAAGAGCCAGGGAGGACGACGGCGACGACGACGACGACGGAAAGGGCCGCGAGGCGGCGAGGCGGAGAGCGAGGGCGCGTTTCCCTCAGGCCCCCTACGGCTTCCTGATGAACCTGGGCGAGGCCGAGTACCTGGTGGGGGCGTCGCCGGAGATGTTCGTGCGCGTCGAGAGGAACCTCCAGGTGCTGGGGCTATGTCGGGCCTGTCCCCCTACAGGGGGATTTTCGACGAAAAATATGAAATACCCCAAACATAGTTCAAAAAACAGTCCAAAAATAGTCCAGGGACTATCTTTTTTAAGTTTTTTTTTTGTTGGGCATTTTAATTTTTCATCGAAAATCCCCTTGTACGGGGACACGCCCGACATAATGCTGCTGGGGCCGCCCCCCCCTCTCGGCCCTCCCCCTCCTCCCAGGGGCATCGTGGCACCGCTCGGGCGTGCGCGCCTTCTCTCCAGAGGGTTCCAAAGAGGATTTTCGGGGAGGGGATTTTCCAGAGAGCCCCCTGGGGCCTCGGAACCTCGCCGAAACAGGCGATGCGGAGCCCCTGGGGGACCCCGCCTGGAAAACCCCCTCCCCCCAAGCCCCCTTTGGAACCCTCCGATCTCTCGCCGGTGACCCACCCGGAGCACCTCGGGGTCGTCGCGCGAAGAGAAAGAAGCGCACGGAGCCGAGCAAAAGGCACGGGGAACGGAGCTCCGAGCGATGGCGAGCCCACGGGGCCTCCGACCTCGTGGGAGACCTCCTCGGCGCGGGCGTGGTTCTCGCCCGCTGCGGCACCCGTCTCGGGGGCCCGGCTGGGGCCGTCGGGGTGGGAGGAGGAGGAGGAGGAGGAGGAGGAGGAGGAGGAGGAGGAGGAGGAGGAGGAGGAGGAGTAGGAGGAGGAGGAGGGGGCGGAGGAGGAGGTCTCGGGGGCCCGTCTCGGGGGTCCAGGCCAGGGCCGTCGAGCGTGGACTTGGGACGACAGGCGAGCCTCACGGGAAGGGGGTCGAGGAACTCTTGGGGCCTCCTGGTCGTCAACATCAGGCCGTTCGATGTCACGGTCTGGGGAATCTTGGGGCTACCCGTTAAGTCGGGCACGTCTCTTTACAGGGGGAATATTCAAAAATAGTAAACACATTGTCTCGGGACGATTTGTTTAGTATTTGTTTTTGTTTTTGTTTTTTTGGCTGTTTCTGCTAAACAGGAAATGTCCCAAATCCGCCTGCAGGGGGACATGCCCGACCTAAGACTATCTTCGGGCCTCTGGGGTCCATCTCTGGGGCCTCTTGAGTGCATCTTAGAAGCCATCTTGGGGCCTCGTTGTGCCATCGAGGCCGATCTTTGCGGCACCCGTGGTCATCTTGGGGCCCACCGTGGGGCCGTCCTGGGCAAGCTCGGGCGCTCTGAGGGCCGCGCTGGAGCGAAAACCTGGGATGTCCCAAGAGCACAACATTGGGCAGGCAAAACACATAGAGCACTTATCTGTTCGTCACTATTGTTGCTCTCTCGGGGGCGTCTTGGGGCCCTCCTGGACCATCTGAGAATCATCTTGGGGCCATCTAGTCATCTTTTGCCGTGTTTGGCTCTCGAGGTCTTTTTCGGGACCTCGCGGGCTGTGTTTGATGTCTGTGCTCTCTTGGCCGCCTGATTGCGTCCGGACAGGAAACGTGGTGCAGCTTGGAGAAGGCTTCTGTTCGACGTCCACAGTATAATGGAGACAGGACTGGAGAGGCAAACGATAACAACAAGACGTCGCAAAGAGAATGAGGCAGTGGTAGCAGCTTCACAGCCTTGCGCCCCCAAGGGGGCTGGCGGATTTTGTTGTCGCGCCACCGTGTCAAACTGCAGAAAGCTCCACTGCACAAGGTGCACACACAGTGAATAGGCAAAACGGATTTGGCTTGTGCGCGGCAGTAATTACTCATGGTTTGGTAGAGTTCTTTCTGTCTGGTTTCTGGGCCCCCTAATGTGCATCCGTGTTTCGATTCTTCATTCGTTTCGTTCATTCCGCCAGCCCAGACGGTATCTTCGCTGGCATTTGCCTGCGCGCTCGCGGGAGATGAGATGGTGGTGGGTAGCCAGTTTTCCGTTGTTCTTTCGCGATAGCATCGCTGTGGGGATACACAGCGACAGGGCATTTGCACAGCATCGCTCAACGGCGCACGCTCCAACCGAAGTTTGGTCAGTGCGTCTCGCCACTGTGCCTGGGTCGTGGGTCAGATGCGTGTTGTATGCCTCTCGGTTTCTCTTGGATGCCTCTCTGGGGCCTCCTGCTAATTGAGGGCATTGTTGGGCTTCCTGTGGATTCTTTGGGGGCCTTGGGGCAGAGGATACCCATCTGGGAGCCTCTCTGGAGGCTTTTTGGGCCGTCTTGGAGCTATCTTGGGGCCTCTTGGGCCGTCCAGGGCGGTCGGCAGCTCGAGCAGGTGGTACCTACAACATCGTCCGAAAACCCTCGCAACATCAACGATCGTGGCATCTTCGGGGTCTCCCGACCTCCTCTTGGAACCCTCCTGGAGCGTCTTGGGCGCTTCTTGGGCCGTCTTGGGACCCACGTGGGCCATCTTGGAACGCTCTGGCCCTGAGGCTCTTGGTGTCTCGCTGGTGGGTGTCTCGCTGTCTCTTGGTGTCTCGCTGGTGTCCACCCTGGTGTCTCTGGGTGTCTCGCTGGTGTCTCTGGGTGTCTCGCTCTCTCTTGGTGTCTCGCTGTCTCTTGGTGTCTCGCTGGTGGCAGGCCCAAGGGGCGTGCCACCCTCTCGGTGTCTCGCTGCAGCTCTCGGGGGGGGGGGCCCGAGGTCGCGCCCAGGAGTTTCTTGCATCTCTGGCGCGACCTTGCCGGACCTTCCTGCATCTCTGGCGCGACCTGCCGGGCACTTTCGTCTGGGGCCCCCCTGGCACGCGCGACTTAGAAACCTTCTTGAACTCTGACCGGGGACGTTAGCACGCGACTGGCCCGTGGGGCTGGAGAATTTTGACACGTCCCCTGTCCGGCTCTGGGCCGCGCACTCGCCTCGGACCATGATCTGCGACCCCTCTCTTTCAGACGCCCCCCTCTTGGACGTTCCCGAGAGGAGGAGGCAGGAGAAATTACACGCGGCCGCGCGCCTGCACAGGGCATGCGCTGCGAGACGTGCCCCATCAGCGGCACCATCCGCCGCGGCAAGAACGCGCTGGAGGACGCAGAGAACATCAGGACCATCCTCACGGACCCGAAGGAGGACGCCGCGCTCTTTCCTGTTGCTTCCGCCGCCACTTACCAGCCTGAGCCTCTAGGGCCCCACCACCACAAGCACAGATTCTCGCAGACTCCAGGCCCACGGGGCCGCTGGAGGCGGAGATGCGTTGCTCGCTCTTCGCACCTGTGCTGCAGCGGTCTCCATACGTCGCTGCTGCTGACTGCCGGGGGAACCTAAGACGCGAGCACGCCGGAAGTTGGATTTGCCGACGCTCTCTGACGAGCGCGTCCTAGATTTTGACGGTGCAGTTTTCGTGGGATGTTTGCAGCGGGAGGCGCAAGGTCGCGTCAAATTTCATATTAGGTCTCGTCGTTTTCATGATGGCCCCTTCAGGCCAACCCGAGTCCCCCCAACCCGAGTCTTACGTCTCCCCGAGACTGGGCTGATATGGCGTCGAGGCCAAAGTTCTCCCCAGCCCGAAACACGTCCCTGTCCTCCTCCTCGTCCTCCTCCGCCTCCCACTCCTCCGCCTCCCTCTCCTCCCTCTCCTCCTCCTCCTCCTCCTCCTCCTCCTCCTCCTCCTCCTCCTTCTCCCCCCCCTCTCCTCCTCCTCCTCCTCCTCCTTCTCCTCCTCATCCTCCTCCTCCTTCTCTCCTGCCTCCTCCTCCTTCTCCTCCTCATCCTCCTCCTCCCCCTCCTGCCCCTCCTCCTCCCTCCTCCTCCTCCTTCTCCTCCTCCTTCTCCTCCTCCTCCTCCTCCTCCCGAGTGAGTTCAGCGAGACGTGGTCGAAGCCAGACCCGTCGAGGCATTCGCGATCAAGCACACCGCCTCATGGCGGCAGCACCTCCCGTTTGTGCCCAGCCATCGTGTATGGCACAGGCCATCCGCACTTGGGGCGCCTCACCATCGCTCGCGTGGCCAGGAGGTTCTTTTGAGGGCTGTCTTCCAAGGCCGCTAACTCATCCACATCGGCGGGTTCGCAAGAGTTTACCGAACCCGATGTGCTGGTCCTCCTACCGCACACCACAAACCTTGCAAGGGGCATCTACAACTCGTCGATCGTTACATAGAGTCAACTGCGTCAGAAAACCCCTGCAAGTACTCCAGCCACCCTCCTCCTCCCCTCCTCCTCGCCATCCTCCCCACCCTCCACTCCCAATCCTTGTCATCCCTCGGCATTCCCCGCCATTCCGTGATCCGCCTCCACCCTCCCTTTCCTTCCCTCCTCTCTCACCTCCCTTCCCCCCTCCCCTCCTCTCTGCGTCTCCTCCTCTCCCTCCCGCCCCTCAGTGGCCGCGGCGGGCACCCCCCGCAGGAGTCCGAGATCACGATGTGCACGGACGTGGACCGCAACGACAAGTCCCGCATCTGCGAGGCGGGCACGGTGCAGGTCATCGGCAGGCGGCAGATCGAGATGCGGGGGGCTCGGCCCTTTCCTTTCTGGGGGGGGAGGCGGGGGAGGCTGCCTCTTCCTCCCCCTCCCCCTCCTCCGTCTCCCTCCTTTTCCTCCTCCCCCTCATCCTCCTCCGCCTCCCTCTCCTCCTCCTCTTCCTCCGCCTCCTCCTCCTCCTCCTCCGCGAGGGGGGGGGGGATGCGGGAGGAGGATGAGGAAGATTGGGGGTTCCACGAGGCGCCCTTGAGGGGCTGGGCCTTGCGGACAGGTGTAGCGGCTTCCAGGGTGACGCTTCTCAGGTCAGGGCCTCCTCGCCCTAGGGCCCAGTGTCTTAGGCCTCCTATTAATCGGAAGCCTCCGTACACATCCACATGCGACTCACGAACTGAATGGTTTAGCGCACCGAATTAAGCACAGTGATTGACCATATCGTTGGCCAGACAGAAGCAAATGAAGATGACGATGAGGAGAAGGAGGAGGGGATGGAGGAGGAAGAGGAACTCGTTTCTCACCACAACCTGGCCTCTTCGTGTTCAGCCCTGTCGCACGGGTGATCTCATCCGTGCGGGCGAGGCCTCCTTTGAAAGAGGCACATTTACTCGTTTGCGTTTTCGTGGACCAGCTCATGTGAAGGTTGACCAGGCTCTGATCAAAAGGGGCGTACGCTACCCACCTCTGAGGGAGCTCGTTGGCAGTCTCGTCTGGCGTCAGGTTTGATCGGATCGCAGGGGGAGTAGGAGACGGAGAAGGAGAAGGAGGAGGAGAGGGAGGAGGAGAAGGATGAGGAGGAGGAGGAGGATGAAGAGGAGGATGAGAAAAAAAAATGAAGAGGAGTAGGAGGAGTAGGAGGAGGAGGGGGAGGAGGAGGAGGCGGAGGAGGAGGAGGAGGGGGAGGAGGAGGAGGGGGGTGGGGGAGGAGGAGGAGGATTTGGAGGAGGAGGAGAGAGGAGGAGGGAGGAGAAGGAGGAGGAGGAGGAGGAGGAGGAGGAGGGGGAGGAGGAGGAGAAGGAGGAGGAGAAGGGGGGGGGTGAGGGGGGGGTTCAGGATCGAACATCAGTAGCTTTGAGTGCGTTTGGGCCTCGGGGCATCCAAGGGAGTCCTGGTCATGCAGACACCTATGGAGGCCTCCATGGGAGACGAGGGAGAGGATGGTCGGGCAAGAGGAGAGGAGGAGGACGTCCAGGAGGAAGCCGGAGAGGAGGAGGAGAAGGAGGAGGAGGAGAAGGAGGAGGATGGATGGTGGATGATGGGTGATCGATGCTCTATGAAAGGTGGTGGACGATGCATGGTAGAGTATGATGACTATGATGGGGATCCGGCCCCTGCTGATGCTGATGATGGCGATGCTGCTGCTGTTGCTGCTGATGGTGATGATGAGATGATGGTGCTGTTGGTGATGCTGATAATGCTGCTGATGATGATCATGATGATGCGGATGATGATGCTGATGATGCTGATGTTGTTAATGATGATGATTTTGATGGTGCTGACCTTGGTGGTGCTGTCAATTGTATTGACGATGATAAGGGTGACGCTGCTGCTGACAATGATGATGCTGATGAGGACGATGGTGGTGATGATGACGTCGACGATGACGAGGACGACGACGGCGATGGGGATGATAATGACGATGATGATGCTGCTGATGATGATGATGATGGTGGTGATGATGATGATGATGATGACAATGATGATGATGTTGACGACGATGCCGATGACGACGAGGATGGTGATAACGATGACGATGGCGATGACGACGACGATGAGGATGATGACGATTCTGATGACGATGATACATGGCGATGCTGATGCTGATGCTGACGAAGAAGAAGAGGAGGAGGAGGGCGATGATGATGCTGCTGCTGATGATTGCGATGATGAGGATGACGATGATGATAATGCTGATACTGAAGATGTTGCTGCTGATGATGATGATGATGATGATGATGATGACGAGGAAGGTTTTGATGATGATGAAGAGTTTGATGATGATGCTGATGATGGTGATAGTGATGAGCGCCATGATGATGATGCTAATGCTGGTGATGATGATGGCGGTGCTGATGATGATGGTGATAATGATAATAATGATGATGGCAATGATTATGAGGATGATGTTGTTGATGATGACGATGATGATGACGATGCTGCTGATGATGATGATGATGATGATGATGATGATGATGATGATGATGATGATGATGATGATGAATGGTGTACGATTTGTGATGGATGGTGACGAGGGCTACGAGTCGTGAGGAGTAGGAAGAGAAGAAAGAGGGAACGGAGGAGGAGGACGGAAGGAAGGAGGAGGGGGTGTAAAGGGAGGACGTTAGGAAGGAGGAGAGGGCAAAGGGGGGTGGACGATGATGACGAGGAGTGTGAAGGGGGGGCGCGATGCCCGACGGTGGCCAGCGCCTGTGTGGCTCAGGGCCTCGCTGTGATCTGTCCGAGCCCGCGCGACGTCTCTTCCTGAGATCCCGGAGCGGTCCAGAAGGTTAACGAGGGCGTTGAGGCGGATCATGATCTGTTTCTTTCTCTCCAGGGGGGGGGGGGGGGCAGGAGGATGGATCTGTTTCCGTAGCGGAGGGGGATGGTGTTGCAGATGCTTCGCGTGCTCCCGTCCAGGAACGGAGCCCGGGCGGGTTGCCCCGACGATGGATGTGGAGGAGCATGCAGTGACATTCAGGGCTGGGGAAGCTGCCATACCCCAAGAGGGGGAGATTGGAGGAGGGATTGGAAGAGGAGGAGGGGGAGGTGGGAGGAGCGAGGGGAGGAGGAGGAGTAGGCGGATGAGGAAGAGGAGGGGGAGGGTGAGGATGATGCTGATTACGATGACGATGACGATGACGATGATGATGAGGAGGATGATGATGGTTATCATCATGCTGATAAAGCTGATGATGATGGTGATGATTGTAGTGATGATGGTGATGATGATGGCGACGGTGATGTTGATGCTGCTGATGATGTTGATGCTGATGATGACGATGAGGGTGATGATGACGATGACGACGATGCTGATGATGATGATGATGACGATGCCGAGGCGGAGGAGGATGGTACTCATGCTGATGATGGCGATGATGATGACAGACAATGATGATGATGATGATGACGGTGAGGATGATGCTGAGAAGGAGGAGGATGCTGAGGAGGATGATGAAGATGATGATGGTGATGACGATGATGCTGATGCTGATGATGATGCTGTTGACGATGATAATGCATATCATGCTGGTGATGATGCTGATGCTGATGATGGTATGATAAGGATGATGGACGATGATGGTCATGGTGGGGGTGATTGTAACTGCGATGATTATGATAATGACGACGGTGATGATGCTGACGACGACGATGATGATACGGATGATGACGGTGATGCTGCTGATGATGACTATGATCATGATGATGAGTCTCATATTGGTGATGGTGAACATGATGATGATGATGTTGACGGTTACGCTACTGATGATGCAGATGCTCATTATGATGGTGGTGATGCTGCATATTATGATGGTGATGATGATGAGGAGGAGGATAGCGATTTTGGTGATGATGAAACTGAGCATGATGCCGATGATGCTGCTGATGATGATGACGATGATGATGCTGATGATGCGGATGATGATGATGATGCTGATGATGATGATGCTGATGATGACGATGATGCTGTTGATGATGATGATGACGACGATGACGACGACGACATCGACGACGGTCTCTTGGAAGTCTCTTTAGAGCCTACTTGGTCTTTGGGACCTCTTGGGGCCGCCTGGTCACCTTGGAGCACTCTTGGGAGCCTCGGGGGCCATCTTGGGGCCATCCTGGAGGAGATCGATCAAAGGACGGACCGTACTGATTAGCCTCTCCCCCCCCCAAGGAGGGCAAAATGCGGACAGAACCGTAGTACAATCAATGATTTGGGCCGTTCCGCTCAGGCCACCTTGGACGCTCCAACGCCTCGCGAGACGCCCCCTCCACACCCAGGGGAGGGGGTAGAGGGAGGGGTAAGCCCTGTTGCGACGGGGCAGAAGGGGGTTTGAAGAGGAAACGTTTTAAACCAAATACGCCCAGAGGGCTGGTGGGATTTGGCAGGGATGGCTGGACTGCGCGCAGCAAGCAATAGGAGGGCACCCCCTGCCGTCCAGGTCAACAACCCATGCAAGGTGGCCGCGGGGCGCCCGTGCATGCTCCAGATTTGGAGGCACAGTTTGCTTGATTGTTTTTTGTCAGTGTTGGCTCGCTTGCGCGCAGCCAGCACGACGAGGGCACCCCCGTCGTCCCTGCCAACAGCCTCTGCAGAGTGGTCGCGGGGCACCCGCGTATGCTCCGAAGTTGGAGGCAACGTGTATTTTGTCTGGTTTTTTTGACAGGGCTGGTGGGGGGGTGTTGTCATGGGTGCCCTCGTGGGCGCGGGTCGGCTGCCGGTCGGGTGGGGGAGGGGGTGTTTAGCAATAGGAAGCGTTGATCAAGCTACCCCCCCCAGACGCAATCTGTTTGGCTCACTCCCGCCCGCCCCCCCAGCACGCAAAGCACCCGAGTCTCAGCATACAGTGGAGGCGCGCGTGAAGAATCAGATGCTCTTCGCCGGGGCATCCTGGGTTTCTTCGATCCGCACGCTGCGCGGCGGCTGCCCGCGGCCGTGGAAAGAGGCTGCTGCGTGCAGGGTGCTCAGGGGAGCCTCCCGCGCGGGGTTGCAGCGTTGGGCCTCCTGCGAGGGTGTCGCGCGGCCGCGCCCGCACTGCATATGCAGCGGTCGTCTGTGGATGGGCAGCTGCTGGAGACCGGTGCGGGCCACAGGTGTGCGCCGCCAGGGCGAGGTGCGCCACGCGTGCTGGGCGCGCCACCACGCGGACCGGGCGCGCCAGGGGCGCCCCCTCGGGGCCAAGCGGGCCGTGCTCGCCCTGGTGCGCCACATCCTCCAGGCAAGCCCTTCCCCAACGATGAATCGCCGACTCCTAGGAAAGATGGGAAGCTGTGGGAAGTGGGGGGACGACGAAAGCCCAGAAGGCATAGAACAAACTTGGGAGTCCTGGGATTTGTGTGTATTTACTTGTGTGTCCCTGGGCCCCTTCAAAGAAGGAGTGTTGGAAGACGAAACTCGCGAAACCATGGGCAACTCGCTGATCCGATGGAACAGAGGCTTAACCAACTCCCACCAGCCCTCTGAGAGGGTTGGCGGGACTTGGTTTTTGCCTCTGTTCTAGTTGTGCCTCGGGCAGGAGGAGGCATGAGGGAGAGATCAGGAAGGAGGCCTTTCGAAACTGCAGAGATTGTGTCGTTTCTTCCGTGGGTCCAGTGCGTCTCGCCATGGGCTTCGGATTTTCGTGGCAGGATGGCCTGCAAGTCTGCCACCTGCTCCTCCTCCTCCTGTCCTTCCCCCTTTTTTTCTGTGCCCTTCATGTTTGGCCTCGGCTGCTGCTGTCAAGCACTCCGACGCGCCAGCCCCTTCGGGCCAGCTCACCCGATTCGCGTTTTTCTTCGCACGGGTGCCTCCCCACTCCTCGCTTTTGCCTGGCTCCTGCCTCCTCGTCCTCCCTCCCTCCATTTCTCCTGCCTCCACCCTCCTTACAGCCGGGGCCCTGCAGAAGGAACCCTTCTCGTTGGGGAGGGCTCGGTGTTCCTTGACTGTTTCACAGCTTGCCTCAGGTGTTCCTTAGGTTGTCAATGGGAGATCGAACTTTCACTGATGGGAAAGAGGGGCCTCGTTCCTTATTTAGGGTTCCTCAGGTCAACGCCCCTTCTGTACCCCCTCCCCCCCCTCTTCCTCCCATCTGCCTCCTACTCCTCGCCCCCGGCTGGCTCCTCCCCTTCGGCCGTCGGCTGCCGGCGCACCGGTGGGGGGGGGGGGGCCTCCGAGCCACGTCTCCCGACCCGCGCCCGCTGCGGGTGAGCTCTGCTGCCGCCCGTCGGGGCTGCGCCTCCCCCTCGTCACCGGACCTACATCCGAGGCCCGAAAACCATCAGTTCACTAATTTTGGGCCCCAGGGCCTCCCCCCCCCACCTCCTCCTCTCCTCCCCCTTCCCCCCCCCCCTCCCCCCCCTCCCTCCCCCCTGCCTCTCCCCCTCCCCCCCCCTTCCTCCTCCTCCTTTTCATCCTCCTCCTCCTCCTCCTCCCCCCCCCTGAGGCCCAGGGGCCCCAGATTAGTGAAGTGATGTTTTTCCCCACGTAAGGACCCCGAAGTTCATCACTTCACCAAGCCGAACCCAGGACGAAAGTCAGGGGCCGAAGTGCTGCTGTGATGCAATGTCGGTCTCGTACTACAGTCGGGGCGCTGAAGAAGGAACCCTTTCCGTTGGGGAAGGGCTCCGTGCTCCTTCATGGTTCCACAGCTTGCCGCAGGTTTTCCTTGGGACTTCTGGGCAAAAGGGGTCTCGTTCCTGATTTAGGGTTCCGTCGAGCGTGTTTCTTTATTGTGTTGGGCATAATGGGCATTATAGTTAGCCCCCGGCCCCCCCTCCCCCCCTCGCTATAACATAACGCCCATCCCCCCCAGTGCTCTCCGGGCACTGCCGCCGTGCGCACGACAGAGGGGAGGCCTTACATTATACCCCCCCTGGCCCCTCCTCCCCCCCGTAATGCCCAGTGTCGCCGAAAATGGAGAAACGCGCTCTTAGGAGCCAGGTTGGAAAATCAGCACACGCCCATCTGACCCGTGCGGACCGAGGTCGGGAGAGCGTGTTCGGCTCGGGCTCGTGCCGAGCGGACGGGGGCGAGGAGCGCTCGCCGCGCCGCGAGCCTGGTCACGGCGTGGGCCCCTCTGCAGAGCCCTCGGCCCGACCCTTGGCATCGCGCTGTTCCCAGCGGGTTTCTCGCTGCCCCCGAGCGGAGGAGGAGGAGAGGAGGAGGAGCAGGAGGAGGAGGAGGGGGATGAGGCGGAGGGAGGAGGAGGAGGAGGAGGAGGAGGAGGAGGCAGAAGTCGCGAAGGCGTGCTCGTCCTTCTCTTCCGCGACGCCTAGAGTTTGGTCATCACACGCTGCACGACCGTTCCCTCTCGGAGGCCCGCGCGGACTTCGTAGGACGGCGCTGGTCCCCCACCGTCGGCCAGGATCCGCGATCCAGTGCGTTGCTCCTACACCTTAGGCGATGCTCAAGAAAACCTAAGTTTTCGGCCAGAGTCTTGATTATTCTTAACTTGTCAATGTAAATCCCAAGATTTTGATAGAAGTTCTGGGTTTTTATTCCAGTTCTGAGACTCTGAATTTCTTAACCCATGGTTTCTTAAGCATTTCGCAGGGTGTAGAGTCGACTCGTATCACAAGGATGCGCGATAAGGGCGCAAGGGCCTTGGAAGCCCATTCTGAACCTTCTCGGGCGGGGCGCGGCCAGCAAATGTCGCTAGGGATGGACCGAGGAGGCAAGGCTGCCAAGGCAGCCCTGGAAAGGTTCCCCAGCCTCACTGGGCGGGTTGACTGTGCAGTGGAGACCCATGCCAAGAATCACCCTGCTTGCCCCCAGGGGGCCCTGGGTTTCTTGGGCTTGGATGGTTTTGCTATGGCAAGCGTGACGTTCCACACCGGAAATCAGTGCACGCCCTGGGGTCTCAGGGTTGGGTCTCTTGCGGACGGTCTCTTGCGGATCGGCTCCCCCTGTACCAGGCGGGTTGACTGTAGCGTTGGTGCTCGTCCGTCTTTCTCCTCCGCAGGAGGCCGGGGCGCGGGGGGGGGGGGAAGGGCGTGCGAGGGGGGGCCCCCGACCCGATCGCCCGGCTCAGAGGTACAGCCGCCTCATCCACACCGTGGACCACGTCGAGGGCTACCTGCGCCCCCAGTTCGACGCCCTGGACGCCTTCCTCGTGCACATGTGGGCGGTGAGTGGGGGCCCACGCCAAGGAACACCTCCTCCTCCTCCTCCTCTTCCTCCTCCTCCTCCTCCTTCCTCCATCTCCTCCCCCTCCCCCTCCCCCTCCCCCTCCTCCTCCTCCTCCTCCTTCTCCTCCTCCTCCTCCTCCTCCTCCTCCTCCTCCACCTCCTCCTCCCTCCTCCTCCTCCTCCTCCTCCTCCTCCTCCTCCTCCTCGGGTCGCCTACGGCCCCGGGGGAAACCGTCCAGTCCCCAAAAAACAGATAGTTGGAGCACATGCCAAGAAACACCCTGCTTGCCTCCAGGTTGCCCTTGGATTTCTTGGGTTTCGATGGCTTTGCAACGAAAGCGTGACGTTCCCGCACCAAACATCGATGCACGTCCTGGGGTCTCAGGGTTTGGTTTCTTGTGGAACTTTTCTTGTGGACCGGCCTCCACTGTAGTTCGGGGTCTGGGACTCGGAGGAGAAACGCCACAAGCATAGACTTTTGACTCTCCGCGCGGATCTCTTGGATCGGCGCTGGGCCCCCCCCCCGTGCGGCGCTTCCGGCGCCGCCCCTGGCGCGCCCCGCGCGCCAGGGAGGGGGGTCCAGCGCGAAACCAAGAAATCCGCGCGGAGCGACACGAGTTTATGTGTATGGCGTGTTTTCGTCTTCTAGAGGAGGCGGGGAGTTCAAGCAATCCGCGCGGAGCGTCAACAGTTGATTATTATTCAGTTTTTGCTGCGTTTTTGTTGCGACTGTTGTTTGTTTCCTCTCTCTTTTTTTCCTCTCTCTCTCTCTCTTTCTGGAGGATGCGGGGGAGTTCAAGAAATCCGCGCGGAGCGCCACGAGTTTATGCTTAGGGCGTGTTTTCGTCTTCTAGAGGAGGCGGGGAGTTCAAGCAATCCGCGCGGAGCGCCACGAGTTCATGCTCATGGCGTTTTTCCTTCTCCCAAGGACGCGGGGTAGGTCCGTTCCAGGGCGTGCTGGGCCGCTCTCTCGGAGCGCGTGCCGGCACGCTCTCGCCGAGAGGCCCGCGGCGCCCGAGGCAGCCTCCAGGGAGCCGCCGGGGGGCGCACGGATTCTCGATGTGTGTCCTCGCCCTGCGGTGTTCCCACCCACTTTTAGCCTTGGCCACAAGAGTTTCGAGCACCAAGATCGGGCCGGGCGAAAGGGGGGGATTGGGAAAGGTGGGGTTACGAAATTTGCTGCATGCAGCTGGTTTCGGCCTCACCGAGGGGCCCAACCCTCGATACATAGACGCCTCCGGCGCCGGGAGGCGCCGGGAAAATCAGCTACGCGAGCTGATTCTCAAACCCCCCCTTTGCTATCCCCCCCTTTCGCCCGGCCCGACAAGAAAATACCGAAGCTGGAAGGTTTTCACGTGTCAGGCCCTGGGAGGCGATACTCGGTCAGCGCCGTTTCGATTCTTTTTTCGGCGTGCTCGAACTTATTTCTGGGATGTGGTCCTTACGTACGCTGGGAGCAATCTAATCATCACCCTGTGCTAGCCTTCAGACTCAAAGAAGAACAAAAGACACATCAACATAAACTTTTGGCGCTTCGCGCGGACTTCTCGGATCCGCGCCTGGGCCCCCCCCCCGGCGGCGCCTCCGGCGCCGCCCCTGGCGCGCTCCGCGCGCCAGGGAGGGAGTCCAGCGCGAATACAAGAATTCCGCGCGGAGCGCCAAAACATTATGTTTATGTAGTTGTTTCTTCTAAAGTCGGGCCTGTCCCTCTATTCTACAGGAGGGAGGCATATTCAAAAGCGGGGACGATGGTTTGGACTGTGTTGTGAATTTGTGCGCGATTTTTTTGTGGACTACTATGTTTCTTTTCTCTTCCGCCCCGAATCCGCCTGCAGGAGGACGTGCCCGACCTAATGTGAGCCTCGCTCTGTCCTCGCCTGCAGGTGACGGTGATGGGGGCGCCGAAGACGTGGGCCATGCAGTTCGTGGAGGACTTCGGCGGCCCTCGCCGCCCGCTCGGGCTCGGGGGCAGGGGGAGGGGGGAGGAGGAGGAGGAGGAGGAGGAGGAGGAGGAGGAGGAGGAGGAGGAGGAGGAGGAGGAGGAGGAGAGGAGGAGGTTGGAGGAGGAGGAGGAGGAGGAGGAGGAGGAGGAGAGGAGGAGGAGGAGAGGAGGAGGAGGAGGATGAAGAGGAGGACGAGGAGGAGGTGGAGGAGGAGGAGGAGGAGGAGTAAGAGGAGTAGGAGGAGGACCAGGAGCAGGAGCAAGAACAGGTGCAGGAGCAGGAGAAGGCTTCTTGGAAGGCGCGCCTTCTGAGGATCGGGGAGACGTAAGATTCGAATAGGCCAGAGCTCGGGTGTTTGCCGACATTTTTCTTGACGAGCGCGTCCTGGATTTTGACGGTCCGGTTTCCGTGGGTTGCAGCGGGAGTTCGCGTCAAATTCCAGATTGGGTCTCGTCGTGCCCGAGTCTTACGTCTCCCCGAAAGAAGCGGGCTCCTTCTACGAAGCCTTCCCCCCTCCCCCTGCCCCCCTTCTGCGCCGCCAACGGGCGCCCCGGTGCTCACCGCGACTAGGTTGGCGCGCGTTTGGTGCGCCAGGGGCCGGAGGGGACGGGCGCAGGGATCCGCGGGGCAGGTATTGGGGGCAACGACAGGGGCAGGGCTCGATTTCTCCGATTCGATTCGATTCGATTCGGTTCGGCTCGATTCGATTCCTCCCATTCGATTCAATCATTCGCTTCGAGTCCTCCGATTCGATTCGATTCGGCTCGATCGGGGCCAACGACAGAGGCAGGGCTCATTTCGATATCCTCCGATTCGACTCGACTCGATCCGATTTCCAGGGCCTCCGATTCCGATCCGGCCTCGGATTCCGATCTGGATCCCGACTCCTCGGGGAGGCCTTGCCGTGCCCTGCCGATGTCCACCCACCCGGCTCCTCCCGGCTCGCCTGCCGACTTCTTGCTGCCCAGCTGGCTCATCACCAGCTCGGTCGCCGAGCCGAGCCTCAGCTCTCCTGCCCGGGAGGGGGCGTGCGCAGAGGTCCGACGGGGGCAGGGCTCGGGGGCCACGGCTCCTCCTCCTCCTCCTCCTCCTCCTCCTCCTCCTCCTTGCCCTCCCCCTCCTCCTCCTCCTCCTCCTCCTCCTCCTCCTCCTCCTCCTCCTGACCCAGAAGGGGGTGCAGCGGCCAGGGGGCGGTGCAGTCGATTTATGTGCAGCAGATTTGTGGGCGCAGATGTATCGCTGGGTGTTCGCGTGCGACACATCAACCCTGCGATCCGATGCAAGACCATTCTCCGGCGCAGCACACTTGCAATACGCTTAACCCAAGTCTGTTGCACCACCCCCTTTCAGCTGGACCCCTTTTTGGGTCACCCGAAGGCAGAGGGGGGGGATGGGCAGAGACCAGGAGCGAAAGAGGGACGTTCATCAGGAGTGGAACAGAAACACGCAGACACCCTTCATCGTCGACTCCCAGGGACACGCGGGAAAGCATGGGAAGCGGAGGGGAAGGGGGAAGACGACCACCCAGAAAATCAAGGGAAATATGCGGAGTCCTGGGATTTGTGTGTATTCATGTGTGTGTGTGTCCCTGAGTCCCTTTAGTACGCACGTACACGACTCCACGTTGGTTGCGCGAGTGCGCCTGGCGCGAGCGTCCGCATCGCGCGGCCAGCCGCGCGGGTTGTGCGACGTTGTTCATGTGCGTGGTTTGGCGCGCACGTCCTTTGTCGGGCGATCGCAAACATGTATCAAGGGGGCGTGGATTAGCGACGGGTCCCGCTTCCATGGGAAATCGCGGAGTTCCGCCGCCGAGTGAGGCGGCACCTGCCGCATTTGGGGGAGGGCACCTCCCCCGATGCATGGACTTGGCGACCGCGCCAAATCCATGGATCGCTAGTCTACATTTGCGCGCCCCCGCCTTTTTGGGCTCCCCGGGAGGGAGGAAAGCATCGACCCCCGATCGACCCACTCATCTCCGATGGGGCCCAGACAGCCCCCTCCCCGCCCAGGAGGGTGCGGTTTCGTTCTTTCGGGGGCCCATCGCCGAGACCTTTGGGCGGCGCATCGCCGCTGCCAGGCAAATGCCCCCCCCCCCCTGTGCCAGCCTCCCCCTCTCCTCGCTTCAGGAGGGGAAAAACAACACACCGACACAATGAACCGTTGATTTCCGTGGGCATGTGGGAACACCTGGGAAGTGAGGGGGAAGACGAACATCTAAAAACATATTGGAACATATCGGGAATCCTGGGATTTTTGTTTTTGTGTGTGTATGTGTGTTTATGTGTGTGTGTGTGTGTGTTTATGTGATGTGTGGGTCCCTGGGCCCCTTCATTCTCGTGGCCCCCGCACAGGGAGAGGGGGAACGCCCTCCGGGAGGCAGAGATAGAGCCCTGGCCTCGTCGCCGTCCGCCGAGACTCGGCACGGTGTCCCCCCCCCCACCCTGCCCCGCTCTCCTTCGCGCGATGCAGTGGGGGGCGATCCAGAAGAAACCCACCGCAAGAACACTAAAAGCCGCCGAGGTTTCTGGATCCAGGGTTGGGTTCCTTTTGCACTTCGGCTGCAAAGGGAGAATCCCGGTGCACCCTGGCCCGAGCGGTTTCTTGACTGGTGGCGTCAAGCAGTTTGACATCAAGAAACCCAAGGCGATCGACAATGCGAGCTGCGGGCCTTGCACAATCAGAAAACCCTACGATACGATACGATACGACCACCGCTGCGGACGCCGTCCGGGCCTAGTTAAGGCCAGGTGGGCGAGGCCGTGGCCTCAGGAATCTGGTGTGTCTGAACAGCAGGCAGTGCGAGATGCATAACAGGTGAATCGAGGAGGGAGGGGTGAGAGGTCCTTGGAGTCGGTGTCGGCGGCTCGGCATGCTTGTGCGGTCTGCGTAGGGGGGGGGAGAGGGAGGGAGGGAGGGAGGGGAAAGGTCCTTGACGTCGACGTCGACTCTCCTTCGAGGGCTGCCGAAGGTGCACCTGGCCCAGGATGCCCCCAGCTTTCCGCTCCCCATGCTTCAGCCCCTGGGGCCCCCTCTGGGCCCTGGGCCTTGTGATAGGGGTGCTCCGGAGGCCGGGGGGGGCCTCCCTGGAAGTCCTGGGGGGCACCCAGGGCCAGGAGCACCCCTGGCAACACCCGCCCTCCAGGACCCCTCCTCCTCCTCCTCCTCCTCCTCCCTCCTCCTCCTCCTCCTCCTCCTCCTCCCCTTCCTTCTCCTCCTCCTCCTCCTCCTCCTCCTCCTCCTCCTCCTCCTCCTCCTCCTCGTCGAAGTCCTGGGGGCACCTTGTGCCAGGGGCACTTCTGGCACCACCGTATCCGTGTCGAGTGCGGGCCTCCATCCGGGCGCAGGGCCCGAGCCCAGGCCGAGCGCCCACGCTGCTGGTGCTCGTCTCCTGGGGCAGCCCCCAGCCTAAGTCGGGCACGTCCCTCTACAGGAGCAATATTCAAAGATAGTCAGAACATGGTTTGGGGACGATTGTTAGAGTATTTTTGCCAGAGGTTGATAGGCCTCCTACCCTGACGCGTCGATGAAGGAATTGGCCGTTTTCGATTCGCGAGACAGCGTCGCGGCCGTCATTTTGCGGGTCCCGCTCCGTCGGTATCGGTCCTAGGCCGTTTTCACTAAGGGGAGGTTTACTAAAGGGTTGTTTGTCCACCGCCGATTTTGGCAAGTTTGGAGTCTTGTTTGAACATGTTTGATTGTTCCTCCAAAATCCGCCTGTAGGGGGACATGCCCGACCTGACCCCAGCCCCCCCCTCATCCTCCCCTTCCAGACTTCCCCGCGCCGTGAGGTTGGCGCCAACTCGACGTGGGGTCGTTTTAGGCTGCGTGGCTGGCAAAGTAGGCAAGCGCAGCACGAGACGTGCGGTCCTTGGCCCGCCGGTTCTGGACGTGCTGGCGTGTCTTGCTCTTGCCCTCGCCCTGCCCCTCTTCACGCGGGTCCCCTCTCCGACCACCTCCGTGCAGTGGAGACCCATGCCAAGAAACACCCTGCCTGCATCCAGGGTGCCCTGGGATCCATGGGATTCGATGCTTCTGCCATGTAGAGCGTGTCGTCCCCACACCAAGTATCCTTGGACGTCCTGGGGTTCAAGTGTGGGGTTTCTTGTGGAAGGTGTCTTGTGGTCGGGCGCCTACTGTACAGTCAACCTTCCCAAGGATACCCTTGCATCCTTGCCTCCTCGGTCCATCCTTCGCCGCTTTCGCTGGCCGCGCCCCGCCCGAAAAGCTTCGAAATGGGCGTCCAAGGCCCTTGCATCCTTATCGCGCATCCTTACTACACTGGTTGACTGTAATTATCCCCTTCCACGTCCTTTTCGTCCGCTCTCGCCCCCTCCTCGGCGTTTTTTTTGGCTCCTCCCACAGCCGTTCAATGTGAGTACTGTCCCTCTCCTCTCTCCCGCGAGGACGTGTGGAGTTCCTGCCGCTCCCCATCCGCCGACTGCTGTTTTTGACACGAGGCTTTCGACAGTTTGCCTGCCCTACGGCAAGCAGTGGCGAAGCATCCCAGCTCGCCTATAGGCCTACCGAACAAGTGTTCTAAGAAGTGGTTGTGGTTTCCACGAAGTGTTCTTAGGACAGTTCTGCTTGGGACCGTCTTGTGTTTAACACATCGGGCTTACTGTTCCAAGAGCAGCGACTGTGTGCTTAGAACATTTGCTGGTTCTAAGGGCATTTCGTGGTAGGCCTATAGAGATGCCGGGACGGTCGGCCCCTGCTCAACTAAGAAGATCTACCTATCGAAGTCTGTCCAAAGTGGTACTGGCGCTCCCGCTGCAGTGCTGGCCTCATTCTCGGATCGGCACTTTGCCCCCCGTCGTTCAGAGCAGCGCTCTCGCCCCCGCGCGGGCCACGATGCTGCATCCGAGCCCTGCCTCGTCGCTGCCGCCCCGCGCCTTTCCCCTCCGCCCGCCCCTGCTCCTCGCACCCCTGCTCTCCTGCTGCTGCTGTTCCTCCACGTCCTCTCCCTTGATCCTCTTCCCCGTATTCATTCGTTGCTAATCCTTCACCTCCTTCTCCTCCTCCCGTAATGTGCACATACCCCCTTTTCTGATTGCGTATAACACGATGAGGTCTCTTTGGGTTCGCTGTGCCACCCATCGGCTGACAGAGGATTAATCTTCGCGTTTGTAAGGGACGGGTAGGAGGGGTAGGATGTCAGACATAGCGCAAGCGCACCTGGTTTGCCACCTCTTCTCGTCCCTCCTCCCTCGTCTCTCCTCTCCTTCTCCACCCCAGGGCCTCCTGGTGTCTCCTGGTCGCCCCTGTGGTCCCCGTGGCCCTCCTCCAGCCTCCGGGGTCCCACTGTGCTGGGCAGAGTCTTACCTGGGACTCCCCGTGGCTTCCCAGAGCATCCTGGGCCTCAAGAGCCCTCCTGGAGTCTACTGGGCTCTGCAGGGCGCTCCTGGGATTTCCGAGGGCCTACCTGCATGGCTAAAGATTCCTGTGGCCTGGGTCCTCTTCTACCCTGCCCCCTCTTCCCCAACCAATAATCACGAACACCAAGTCTGAGGTGTGTCTCTTCCGATGTCTCATTCCTCCTCCCTCCTCCTCGCAATGGAGGGGATGCGTCGGTCAAGGGAGGATGACAAGGGAAAGAGGCGGGGCGCGGAGGGAGGAGGGAGGATCGAGGAGGGAGGAGGGAGGAGAGAAGAGGAGAGAGGAGGGGGAGGAGGGGGAGGAAGAGGAGGAGGAGGAGGAGGTGGAGGAGGGGGAGGGGAGGAGGAGGAGGGGGAGGGGAGAAGGAGGAGGAGGAGGAGGAGGAGGAGGAGGGGGAGAGGGGAAGGAGGAGAAGACTTCCTCGCCCCCTCTCCTCCTCGCACCCCTCCCCCCTCCCGCGCCCCCCCCCCCCCCGTGGCCTCCCCTGCGCTCGCCTGCAGGAGACCGAGAGGTCGCAGCGCCGCTGGTACGGGGCCTCGGTCGGGCACGTGGCCTTCGACGGCCACCTGAACACAGGCCCTTCGGAGGAGGAATAGGTACCCATAGCCTCTACAGTCAGCCCGCATAGTAAGGATTCGCGACTGTCCAAGGTTACCCTTGCATCCTTGCCCCTTCGGCCCATCCTTAGCGACTTTAGCTGGCCAGACCGTGTTCGAGAAACGTCGACACGGCCCTTTAAGGCCCTTGCATCCTTACCGAGCATCCTTATTTTAGGTGTGGATTGTACCCTCCCCCTCGTTCTCCCCTCTGTAGGCCTCCTGGGCCTCCGTCATCGCCGCCGCTGGGTTCTCGGAATCCTTGTCAGAACGCACCCTAGGAGAGGTCCGGGGAGCAGCGGTATCGGTACCCTTAAGTTCCCCCATATGCGGGGGCCCTTCTCTGGGACCGAGGCGGGAGGACGAGGATCGAAGAAGAAAAAACGCCATAAACATTAATTTGTGGCGCTCCGCGTGGATTTCTCGCATCCGCGCCCTCCCCCCCTCCGCTCCTCCGGCGCCGCCCTTGGCGCGCCAGGGAGGGGAGTCCAGCGCAGATCCAAGAAATTCGCGCGCAGCGCCAAAAGTTTCTGTTTATGCCGCTTGCTCTTCTTCCAGAGGAGGCGGGGGAGTTCAGCGGAGTTCAGCGGGTCAGACAGTTCGCGAAGCCCTATGGTTTCGCGCCGTGGGTCGGCTGGCCGCATCGGGCCGTCCCCGCGCCGCGCCAGTCAACCAGGAAGCGGATTGATCGCATTTGTCCCACGCGTTCTCCCACGAGCTGATCTCCTTGCGCTGTCACCCGGGCTGGCTCGTCGGACCCCCATCGGCAACAAGGCCTGCTGCCGCTGCCCTGGTTCTCGCAGGACCCGACCCCCCTGCACTGTAGCAGAGAACCTGCCCCGCCCCACGCTCACCAACGTGTTCTCGCCCGAGCTCATCTGTGCCCACGTGGTGGAGAACTCGTCCGACCCCCTGCGGCACAGCGTATCAGAGAAGCCGGGCGGAGGCCGGCAAAGCCGTGGCTGCCAAAGCGGAGCTCCAGGAAACTGTCTTTTTCTCCCGGGAAGCAGAGTGTTTACTGTTTCGCGCGCTGAGCTTCCTTCCGGGAATCTCCCTTTCTCTGTTGGGAGACCGTTTTAGCAGCCACGGATTTACCAGCCCTCGCCCAGCTTCCGAGCGTAGCTGTGGATGACGTCGGGCTCGAACTTCACCTCCCACTTCTCGCGGGATGGCGTCCGAGCCGCGTGCCCCTTTGCCTTCGCGCTGTGCTGCCCCGGCTCGCCCGCATCGCACACGCTTCTCTCGGCGTTGTTGCTCACCGACTATAGCTCCAGCTTCGCCTCCCACTTCTCTGGGGGGCACATCCGAGGTCACGAAACCGAGCGACTGGGAATGCGAGGTCACCGCAAGGTCTGTCACCGCACCGTTTCGGGACTCCACCCGAGACTTCCCTTTGAATGCAGGGCTTGTTTGAGGCGCAAAACAAATGAAGTAGGTTTAGAGTAGCTCCTGAAGTAGGTCGGCGAAGTAGGTCTGCAGCGCGCCTGGCAACAGTGGTCGGCGCAGGTAACTCGAAGGGAAAGGATGGCGAAACCGATTGCCGCGAGAAACTTTCAGGGGAAAGGAATGCGACATTCATGTGCAAAAGTAGCTTTCCAGGAAAGGTTGTCGGGAACACAATATCAAAAGTAACTTGTCGGGATCGGGTCAGTAATGATATTTTCCAAACAAGCTTCTCGGGGAAATGCTGGAATGCCGCCGGCAAGGCGCGGCTTCTGCTAGCAAGCCAGCCGAGTAATTCGTGAAGTGCGCTGTCTTGGGTTCTTCTGGACTCCTTCGGGGCTTATCTTCAGGCTTCCAAAGTCTTCGGAAGCGCATGGACCAAAAGGCCCAATTCATTCGTGTCTCGTACGATTTGGAAAGATTTCGGCTTCTCGGGGGTGTTATTGGGTGGCTCCGCGGCCGCTTGGGGCGGTCTCGGAGCGGTATTTGGGTTTCTTGGAGCATGCGGGAAACAATGTTGATCCATCTTGGGCTATCTTGAACCATCTGTGAGACCGCGTTGCATTCTGCGAGGTCATGCCGGCTCTATCTTTGACCGTCCCGGGCGCTCCACCGATCCGCCGCCCCCCATTGCAGGCCCCGGAAGGAGGGGGGGGGAGGGGCGCATCCATCCCCGAAGGGAAGACTGGGGGTTGTTGGAACAGGAAGCGCTCTAAACCACCTCCGTCCTGAGATCTGGGGGCATTGCGTTTCCCCCTTGGTCTGACCACAGCGGGAAGTGGGGCATGGAGGGCGGGGCGAGGGCCGCGGGCCCGAGCAAGGGAGAGGGGGGGGGGGGCGAGAGGGAGGACCAGGAAGGTTAAGAAGGTCAGAAACGGGAGGGTGGGGGGCTCCAGAAGGCGGGTAGGGGGGAGGTGGCGTTTCCGGGGGGAGGAGGTGGAGGGAGGCTGGAATAATGAGGGCGCGTGAAAGAGGAGAGGAGGTGGAGAGAGGTGGGAGGAGGAAAGAGAAACGGAAGGGGAGTGGCGCCTCCGTCGGGCCGGGCCCGGAGGGGCCCCGGGGGGCGGGGGGCGGCCGCATCAGGTTTGGTTTCTGAAGAACCTAGGGCGCCAGGCGGCGGCCCCCTGCCCGCCAGCGGGGGGGCTGCCAAAAGGCCCTGTCCTGTCGCGGTACGTTCGCTTGTCGCCCGACAGCGAAATCGCGCTCGATCCTCGACCCTCGGGGGGGGGGGGAGACCGCCCCCTTTGGGGGGCTCCCGCCTGTCGGGGGCAACCTACAAGTGTTTTGGGTTTGCTCACCTTCTGGGGGTACTTCGCAGATTCCTTTTTTGGCGCGCCGCCCCCGGGGGCGACTTCTGGGAAAGGCTCGGGCAAGCGTGTGCTGATGTTTCAAGGAACCGCGCCCCCAAAGTAGGTCGGAAAGTAGGTTTGCAGAATTTGTTTTTGCAAAGTAGGTTCCAGAGAAGGTTTCCGGATTCCAAAAGTAGGTTTTCGGTAGCGCAAAGTAGGTTTCGGAGGCATCAAAATAGGTTTTAGAAGCCTCAAAGTAGGTTTCGGAGGCCTCAAAGTAGGTTTCAAACCTACTTCAAACCTACTTCAAACCTACTTCAAACCTACTTCAAACCTACTTCAAACCTACTTCAAACCTACTTCGAACCTACTTCAAACCTACTTCAAACCTATTTCAAACCTACTTCAAACTGTTTTCGGAAGCATGGAAGGTCAGGGATTGAAGGTAGGAGGAGGAGGAGGTGGAGGAGAATGTGGGGGAGGAGGAGGAGGAGGAAGAGGAATGGGAGAGGAGGAGGAGGAGGTGGATGAGGAGAGCCGGGAGGAGGATGTGGAGGAGGAAGAAGAGGAGGAGGAGGAGGAGAGCCAGGTCGAGGAAACGGAGGGCCAGGAGGAAGGAGGAACAGGAGAGAGGAGTAGGAGGAGGAGGACCAAGAGGACCCGGAGGATCGGGCGGAGGATGAGGGGCGGATGAAGGGGGGATGAGGGGGAAAAGGTAGGAACAAGATGGGGAATATGAGGGGGAGGAGGAGGAGGGGGGGGAGGAGGAGGAGGAGGAGGAGGAGGAGGAGGAGGGGGGGGCGGGGAGGGCGGGGAGGATCGGGGGCAGGAGGATGAGAACGTGGATGCTGCGGCTGACGAGGGGGGGGATGGTGAGGCAAGGGGGGCGATGATGGGAAGCATGATGTGATTGATAACGAGTGGCTTTGGGGAGGGCAGAATGACCTTGGGCGGGGCGGCCGTGATAATGAGGAGGAGCCATGGCGTGTCCGAACCCCGCCGGGGCACGGTATTGGTACGGGGTGATTGTTGGTGGCGGCCCGGCTTGTCCGGGATTCCTTGAGTTGCGTTGTTCGCCGTGCCAGTTGCTGGGGCTGCCCCAATTGATTTTTGGGTCGCCCATCGTCGTGACTGCTTTTCTGGCGGGTCGTGTTTTCGGAGGTCTTCTCCGCAGCCGCTCTCGTTAATTTTCTATGTTTAGTGCCCGAGGGTGCATCGCGCGAAAAGTGTCGCGGCCCCTGCCTGAAATGCAGCCCTGACGCCGTTTTTCATTGCAAACCTTCTTGGCGAGGTTACCGCGGCCAGGGAACGTCCCCGGGTGCACTCGCCAGGGCTAGTTTGGCGAATTCGCTTCGCCAACTTAGCTGCCCGCGGCATTTGCGCCGACGCGCTTTGGCAAACCCAGTAGCGGGAGGCTATCTGCCCGATGACACGTTTTCCACGCGCGTTGCACCTTCTTCCTGGAACCTACTATGCTTGCGAACCTATCTCCCGAACCTACTTTTGAACCTATCTAAAACCTATATCGAAATGTTTTCTGTTCGCCATTGCCCTGCATTGCTGGGGAAGTCTCGGGACTCCACATTCTCGCAGTGTAGCGGCGGATCACTGGTGATATCGGGCTCCATCTTCGCCTTCCAGCTCCTGTTGAGTAGCGACAGCGCCTGCTTCCACTGTTCGTCTCTCTCGCACGCGCTGTGCCCAGCGTTGTCGCCGTCCCGTTCGTGCTCCAGCTGAGCGCTGTCGCTGATAGCGTCGGGCTTTGGCTTCGCCTTCCACCTCTCGTGGAGTAGCGCAAGGCCCTGTTGCCACTGTCCGATTTCTTCGATACACGATTTGCACGGCAGAGTTGACTACGACCTTGGGCTCCAGCTTCGTCTCCAACTTCTCACGCACGCTGTTCCTGGCACTATTAGTGACTATGATGGGCTTTCGTTTCGCCTTCGCTTCTCGCAGATGGGGTCTCGGCCTTCTCGGTCGCAGTGATCCCAGGTTTGTAAGTGATGACGTCGTGCTTTGGCTTTGCCTTCACCTTCTCGCCGAATAGCGCCAGAGCCTGCCGCCCTTGCTCGCCCTTCCCCCGTCACGCGAGGCCGCCGTTGGGTATGCCCTGATCCCAGCGCTGTAACTGACGACATTGGGCTCGTCCTTCGCCGTCCCCTCGCTCACGCTCGCAGTGACTGTTTGTCGTCGCCGCGCTGTAGCTGACGACGTTGGGCTCGTCCTGCGCCGTCCCGTCGCCGTCGTGCTCGCGGCTCGTCGTCGTCGCATTGTAGCTGATGACTTCGGTCTCGTTTGCCGTTGCCGCTCGTCCTTCGTCGTCGCCAGCGCTGTAGCTGATGACATCGGGCTCGGACTTCACTTCCCGCTGTTCGCAGCTAGGTGTAGGGCCGGCGCTGTTCCTCATCCCAGCGCTTCCGCTTCTGGCACCGTGCTCAAGCTTCGCTTGGCCGCCTCTGATGTAGCTGCTGACGTTGGGCTCCGCTCTTTCTCTTGCGCACTTGCCGTTCACGTCATAGGTGAACGTGATCGGCATTATGAGACCATCTGGTGTCATGATGTCAGCCTGGAGGGTGATCCGCACCGCGCGTCCCTGATGGCAATGCGAGAAAGGGGGACAGAAAGACGCAGGAGAGACGAGGACGTCATCTTTCGCGAGTGCCTCGGCGGGTCCTAGTCCCAGCCCACCGTTCTTGATGGCTCATCAACCGGAATGCCACTCCCACGTTGGCGGCTGACCGAGAGGAATGGTTGAGGAGGCGGGGGAGGAGCATGATGATGAGGAGGAGGAGGATGGGGAGGAGCACGAGGCTGATGATGTTGTTGTTGCTATTGGTGATGCTGTTGATGATGATGATGATGCTGATGATGATGATGAGGTTCATGATGCTGATGATGATGATGCAGCTGGTGATGATGCTGATAAGAGCTGAGGAGGGGTGACGAGGCTATGACAATGACGTGGATGACGATGATGACGATGATGATGATGATGATGATGATGATGTTGATGCTGCTGATGATGATGGTGATGGTGGAGATGATGCTGATGACGACGATGCTGATGTCATGAGGATGAGTATGGTCATCATGATGATGTTGGGAAGGATCCTGCTCATGATCATAATGATCGGGGTGACTATGATGATGATGCTGATGAGGATGCTGATGATTGCGATGCTGCTGATGATGCCGATGATGGTGGTGATGATGATGATGGAGATGAGGATAATGATGATGGTGATGATGATGGTGGGGTGGCGATGTTGAGGAGGCGGAAGATGAGGGCGATTGTGTGAGCACGATCCTGGTGAGGGTTATGAAGGTGGATGAGGATTGTGTTTGTAGTAATGACGACGATGATGTGAATGACGATGATGGTTCCGATGATTCTGATGCTGATGATGATGATGATGATGTTGGTGTTGTTGGCGATGATGGCGGTGGTGGTGGGGAGGCGGTGTTGGTCTTGATGATGATGATGTTGCTGATAGTGGTGGTGATGATGATGGCGATGCTGATGACGACCAGATCGATGACGACGACGATGACGATGACGTGGAAACTGGTGCTGATGTCTATGCTGATGATGCTGATGACCATGATGGTGATGCTGATGATGATGGCGATTATGATGATGATACTGATGACAAGGCAGCATCTTATGGTAACAATGACGATGCTGACGATGATGATTTTGATGGTGATGGTTATGTTGATGATGGTGATGGTGATGATGATGATGCTGCCGATGACGATTACGATGATGATGATGATGCTGATGATGATGATGATGATGATGATGATGATGGTGATCATGATGGTGTTGATGATGATGATGATGATGATGATGATGATGATGATGGTGATGGTGATGATGATGCTGATGTTGATGCTGATGCTGATGATGATGATGATGTTGATGATTATGATGTCGATGATGATGTGGGGGAGGTGGAGGAGGAGGAGGAGGAGGAGGAGGAGGAGGAGGAGGAGGAGGAGGAGAGGAGGAGGAGGAGGAGGAGGAGGAGGAGGAAGGTGATGATGATGAGGAGTAGGCGGAGGTGGGAGGGTCAAAGCAAGAGGCGAATATGGAGAAGAAGGACGAGGAGGAGGATGAGGCGGAGGTGGAGGTTGAGGACGATTGGGAGGAGGAGCGATAGCAGGAGCGAACGAACGGGCGTTCTCACTTCCCCCAGGGCTCACCGCCGAGCTACGGTCCTTCAGGGTGCCGCAGAGCACACCGTGCAGCAGGCCACGCCTGATCTCCTGGTACACGCTGAGCCCCCTTTGTGCCATAGGCGGGTTGGTGTCATTTGTTTTCTGATCCACGCGTGGATGGCCTTGGAGCTAACGGGCAGGGTTCTCAGGCGAATCGACTAAGAATACGACAATGGTTCCGTTGACCTGCCAACCTGCCACGTATTTGTTCCGTAGCCGTTTTGGCTCAAGACGTGCTTTTGCCTCAATTGCAACAGCGTAGTGAGCGCCCTGCGCAGGACACGCCACGCCCGCAAGTATGTCGAGCCTCGCAGGCGCCCACCTCCCGGCCGTCAGCGATCATCAGTTTCCGCGACCAAGGCCGGCGCTGGCGTGGGCGGAGGCATCTGGCGCAGCGCCCGCACCGAGGCCACCTTCGCACCCCAGGACGGCCCGCGGGCGCCCCGTCGGGGGCGAGCGGCTCCAGCGCCCCCCTCTGTGCAGACCCCTCGGCGGCCACGGCAGGGCCACGCCGGGCTCCGACGTCCTCGCCCGCGGCAGGATCCGTAGGCCCCTGGGGCTCCGCCCTCCCGAGCCTCGAGCTCCAAAGGCTTTCGAGCACCTCCCCGAGGTGGAGAAGTTCGTCACGGGGGCCTCCGATCCTCGCCCCGGCAGCGGCACGCCCAGCTGGCACGCCGCGGAGGAGCTCCCGGCGCCCGGGCCGTGGCCCAGAGTGGAGCTGGCCGGCCGCTCGGCGGCGAGCGACCATGACACGAGCGACACCGACTCGACCTCGGACCTCTTCGCGATGTCCCTGGAGCTCTCCACGGCGGCCGCGGGACTCCGTCTGCCCAGCGCCGCCGCCGGCGAGGCCGAGCGGCCCCCCGCCTGGCCGGGCACCGACCGCCCCACCGGCGAGCCCTTCCCGCCGCCAAGCGCGCCGCCCGGCCTCGGCGGCCGCCGCAGGGCCCCCGTGCGGCACGGGCCCCCACGCCTGCGGGGGGGCACCGACCGCCCCACCGGCGAGCCCTTCCCGCCAAGCGCGCCGCCCGGCCTCGGCGGCCGCGGGAGGGCCCCCGTGCGGCACGGGCCCCCGCGCGCGGGCGCCTCCCCCCCGGGGGCAGGCGCCCGCGCGGTGCCGCCCCAGCATGGCTGGCAGGTCGCTGGCGGCGAGGGGCAGCGGGCTTCCGCGCCACGCGGCGCGGGCAGCTGCTGAGGGCGAGGGGCCTGGTGCAGCGTCAGGGGAGCGTCAGGGTTCGTGGCGATGATGCGTGCCACGACGTCCAGGCGTTCCAGGATCCCCGGATTCTGGGCCTCCCAGATGGGGTCCGAGTAGATGGGGTCGGAGGATCGTACCGCATCGCCGATGCATCGCCGATGCGGTTCGCTGTGGAGCCCGATTTTCTCCATGATGGCGTCGCCGATGCATCGCCGATGTCGACGATGCATCGCCAGAACATCGCCGATGCATCGCCGATGCATCGCCGATGTATCGGCGATGTATCGGCGATGCATCGGCGATCCTCCGACCCCATCTACTCCGACCCCATCTAGGAGGCCTCTACGGATCCTCCCCACGGCCTGCAGTTCCGGGGGCCGCTTGACATCCGCGGAGATCCTGGAGCGCATCCCGGGCCAGTCCTGCCATGGTGGCATCGTTATCGTGCTGAGGTTGGCGAGCAGCTGGGCGGAGTCCGAGGCCGCGGGGGTCTGCAGAAGGCCACCGGGAGTGCATTGTTTTGCCCCGTGGGCCCAGAGTGGGCATGTTTGGTTTTCGGTGGCCGCGACATCGCGTGAGGCATCAATTCGATTGAGATTTTCCTTCGTTGCCAAAAGCCAGGTGGACCAGCTAGATTGTGGCGTGTCACTGCAGGGCATCGTCTTCTCATCTGATTTTCCATCCCCTAGTCTGAGATTCTCCAGGGGAGATCTATGTGAGGCCTCAGGGGCCCAAGTGAGTGAGACCCGAGCCTGTGCCTAGCAAGCGGCCCTCTGGAGGCCCGCCAGCTCAGCCTCTCACTGCTTTCCTTTCCCTTTTCCCCTTGCCCCGTCTCCGTGCACTGTGCCTGCCCGTCGCCGTATTTGGGCTCTCAAGGCCGGCCTTTTTAGCTTTAGCTATCGTACTGGGCTCGACTGAGCCCCCGCGAACAGCAGAGTTGATTTGGTCCGCTAGCCAGCGGGAGTGCAAAATTGCCAGATCGACAATCAGACCTAGCTTAATTTCTCCGCTAGCGCAGGCTTCTCCTTTCCAGTCAAGGAGGGCGGAGCGCGATGGTTTCCCCCGCCCCCTGAATTGCTCAGCAGTGCATTTCTCTTGCCCCCCATGGTGCGTCCACGAGCCAGCCTGCGCCATCTTTCCTGTAGGTTGAGCGTGGCGGCGGCTGTAACATGTTCGCCGCGCTACGCCTAACAGGCGCTCTCCTCCACTCCATGTCCTCCAGATTGCGGCATACTACCGAAGGAAGGGCAGCTCGCAAAAACCGAGTCGCAGAGATGAGAACACCAGCCTTGCGGGGGAGCCGATGTGGGATGACGTGAGCTGATGTTGGTGCGGCGGGCGTCGGCGTCGGAGTGGTGAGCTGACCCATGCGATACGTATGTTGGTTGCCATACCCACCCGGGCCAGTGGCCCCAATGGCGGCGATTTCGCGGGCGCCTCCCGCGCAACATCGAATTTTGTTTAGAATTGCCTGCCAAGTCGTGCAACATGCGGCCTTTAGTTGTGCTATGGGTTGCTTGGCGGCGGCTTTGACACAGATGCATCAGGGAGCCTCTGGCCATGAAGTCTTTGCTAGTAGGGGAGTTCGTTTTTTGGTTGGGGCGGAACCATGCCTAGAGCGACGCTGCTGTGCAAGCTCCGAAGCACAGTTGGTGCACAGACACAGTGTCTCAATACATCCGTACGCATCCGTTGCGAATTACGACATTCATAGTCGGAGGGCGTCGTTCAAGAAGCGGGGGGTCCGCTTCTTGAGGTGCTTCTGAGTTCGCTACACATTACCTGGGCGCGCTCTCGAGACTGTGCGTGCCGCGCGCCCAATAGCCCCACTCCCCGGGCGGCGCCATCGGCGTCCAGGTCCAGGTGATCGAACACTCCATGGTACGATGCCATATGGTCTGCCTTGCGGGGCGGGGATGGGGAAGGACGGGGGGAGGGGGAGGAGGCATAATGAGATGCGACGTGACGCAGGATGGGGTGGAGATTGCTGTGTACGGGCCTGGCGAACCATCCAACTGAGTCAGACAAAAGCAGACGCATCTGAGTCCGAGCCCTCTTCGGAGTGAACTGGACGGACGCGTCGTGGCCTCTCCTCAGGCACGGACCAGACACACACGCACACACACGCACACCCGCACGCACGCACCCACGCACGCACGCACGCACGCACGCACACACGCACGCACGCACACACGCACACACGCACCCACGCACCCACGCACCCACGCACCCACGCACGCACGCACACACGCACACACGCACACACGCACACACGCACCCACGCACACACGCACCCACGCACCCACGCACCCACGCACACACGCACACACGCACACACGCACACACGTACACACGCACACAGCCGTTCTGGCCCAAGTGGGCTTGGTGCAGCATACATTCAGAGCGGCTATATTGCTGTACCGAGCTGGAGTGGCTCGTTCTGCAGATTGCTTCTCTCGCCCGTGAGGGCGCAGCGATGGCGAATGTCGGGGCGCATTGGAAATGTCCGTGCTGCCCGAAGCTCAACCCGATCAGCAAGGTCAAGTGTGCCCAGTCGGGGTGCAGCGGAGTTCGGCCTGGCTATGGCCCCGCACCGCGTCCGTGGCACACCGCAGGTGGGAAGTGAGCTCAAGGTGCTCCGCAGCTTAAGCCTGACAAGCCTTCTCGTCGGCGTGTTGCTGCAGGTGCTACACTTGATGATGCTGGTGTCAAATCGTACGTGGAGCTTGCTCCAGATGTCTGGGATTTGGTCAAGTCTACTCTGTCTCAGTCCAGCCGTGATCGTGTTCAGTATGCGAGAACGGCGGCGGCGGCAGGCTGGACTCCAGGCGTCACGCAAAATAACAATGTGGAGAAGGCTGCGAAATCTTTGCTCGCTGGTCAGCAAAAGCTGCAGAAGGCGAAGGAGGCAGCAGCCAAGGCCATGGTCGCCCTGCAGGAGCAGCAGGTGGCCGTCGCTTCTCTGGAGCAGGAACTGGCTGTGGCCAAGGAGGAAGCTGCCAAGGCGCTGGGTGCGTCCACTGCGCCGCCCAAGCTTGACATCGGCCCTTTGCTCGAGCAGCTCAAGCAGTTGCAGTCCAGCGCAGGCCAAGGCGACACTGTTGAGGCCATCTTCGGGAAGGTCACCATGGCCGTCACCGAGTTCGCCCAGAAGCAGCGGCCTGCTGCCTCCCCTGTCCCCTGCCCTTCCTCCACGGCCCCTCCAGCAGGTGGTGGCGCCAACGGTGGGGGCGCGCCTGGCGCCGACGGCGGCGCCGAGGCGGCCAAGGGGGCCGATGGCGATGCCACCATGGAGGATGGCGATCGCGGTGGCTTCAGCGACCATCTTGATGGAGAGGATCCAGGAGGGCTGCTGGCAGGGACTACAAACCCCGACGAGCGCAAGCGGATCCTGGAAGCGTTGGAGATCCTTCGTGCGAAGTCCAAGCGGAGGAGGACGAATCTTTAGTGGCTCACGGCAGCGGCGTTCCTGGGTCGGTCTCACAGTGAACGCCAACGCATACTCTACGTTTGAAACCCTCCCGGACCGCATGGAGATCCGACGGTCTGATTTTGTCGCAGTCCAAGAGGCGCATCTCACTGTGGAGCGCAGCAATGAGGTGGCATCGAGGCTAGCCAATCTCGGCTGGCATGCGCACACAGCCCAAGCAGAGGGCTCAGGGCCCGGAATTCCTGGGCATGGAGGCCTCCTTTTGCTGTCGCCACGGGCGCACGGCATGGGCCAGTTCGAGGGTGTCGGCAGCTCAGTCATCGACGCTGGGCGTGCGACCTTCGTTCACCACTCAGGCTTCTGCTCGGGTGGCGCGGTGCTGGTCACGGTCTACCTGCACCCTGGCGAGGGGCGCACGTGCGCCAACGAGAGCATCCTGCACAAGGTCGCCACCATGCTGCAGGTCCTAGGGCGCCCATTCATCATCAGCGGCGACTTCAACATGGAGCCAGCCACTTTGATGCAGTCCTCCTTTCTCGACCGGTGCGGCGGCCGAGTTGCGGCGCCGAGCTTGGAAACCTGCAGGCCCTCGGAGCACGTCATTGACTATTTCGTCTTGTCCAGGCATTTCCGCGTAGCCAGCGCCGAGGTATTGCACGATTGGGAATTTGGGCCGCATCGGCCTGTCAGGCTCACGATCGACGGCACTCAGATTGACGACTGGGTGCAAGTGATGCGCACGGCCAAAGCCTTTCCCAGTCCGTTTCCTGCTGGCTGTTGCACGCGGGACTTCTCGGAGGATTGGCGCGCGCTGCGAGAGGTCGCGACCAGCGTGGGCACGGCCTGGACGCAGTTTATAGGCGTCACGGAGCACTGCCTCTGTGACCTCGCAGGGCTTGACCTCGACAAGTACGGTGGCCGCGGTCACAGGCCAGAGCTCGGTTGGGCTCGAGCCTGCCCGCCCTCGGCGCCTCGCATTCCGAAGGTGAGCAGGCCTGCGATGTGGTTGAAGGGCGTGGCCCTTGCTGCCGCCGACGGGGTCAGCGATGATCCCATCCGCCGAGTGCGTGGTCAGCGAGCTCTGGCGTGCAGGGCGCAGCGGCCACCTGCCAGCACGCGGTGCCAGGCGGTGGCGCTTCTCTGCCGCGCGCGTGAGTACATGGGCAGCGTCGAACTGGAGTGCCTGGCTGGGATCACCAAGCAGCTCGCCGACGATGCCGTCGCTACCGATGTGAAGGAGTCGAAGGCGCGCTTCGGGGATTGGATCGACGGCAACTCTGCTGGCGGGGGGGCTGCGCTGCATGCTTTCACGAAAGAGCCTGCGGTGAACGCCTCCGCGATCCAAGGGGTTGCAGTGCCGCTGGGCAAGATGGAGGCGGTCAAGGCGCTGGTGTGCGAATGGTCGGAGTGCTGGCGCACCGCGGCCGAGCCTCCGAAGCTGAGTTGGCCTGCTGACCTTGGCGAGCGCCCCAGGCGGCCGACCCCTGATCAGCTACGTCGAGTATGTGCAACCTTCAGGGTCCACGGAGGGCGTAGTTTCGACAGTTTCAACCCGCGCGACTTCGGCGAGGAGGGTGATCGAGTTGGTGCGAGCAGCAATGTTGTTGGCCTGGCTTTACCAATAAGCTTGCATTCATACCTGAGCGTGAAGGTGGAGTGCGGCCAATCGCCCTCCTTGCCGCGCTTGTTCGGGTGCATGGGCGGTTGAGGAGGCCCATAGCCACAGTGTGGGAAGCCACCCGCAATCGCGGCTACTGGTGGGCGTCGGCTGGCAAGAGTTGTGATCGTGCAGTGTGGCAACATGTGGTATGGAGTTAGTGGGTCCCCATGAAGATTGCTGAAGATCCCAGCGCCGACTGGGCCACTGCAGCGCTATTACTTGACTTGTGGAAGGCCTTTGAACAGATCAGGCATGACAACTTGTTGAGATTGGCTCAGAAGTTGTCCTTTCCTTTGTGGTTGTTGAAGCTGCAACTGGATATTTATACCAAGACCCGCGCTCTCGCGTTGGATGGCGCCGTATCTGATCTGGTTTACGTGCCCCAGACCGTGCTTGCAGGCGGCTCGTTTGCCACAGCTTTCATGAAGCTGCAGCTGATCGAGGGTGTCGATCGCATGCAGCAGGCGGTGCCCACGGTTCCCCCCGCCATTGCGGTTGATGATTTGGTTACGCAGCGGCGCGGCGGTGAGCATCGGGTGATGCGAGACATCGTCTTGGCGGCGCAGGTGCTGGTGAACGGTCTCAGCAGGGACAGCATCCGCATCGCCGCCAAGAAGTCGCAGGCCCTTGCATCAAGCACGGTTCTCACTCGCACGTTGAAGGCCAAGTTGATTACGATCACGGGTGTTCAGGCAGCCCGGCACGCGAGGAACTTCGGCACTGATTTTGCTCAAAGACGCGCGCTTGGGCGACAGGTGCGACGTGCGCGACTGCGAGCTGCTGAGCGACGGGTGCCCAGAGTGCGGCGTCTATTGGGCAATGGAGGTCGACGTGCTATCGCAGCTCGTATCGCCAAGCAGGGCCTCGAGGCAGGTTATGCGTACAACGTGAACTGCACGGGACTTAGCGATGCCGACCTTCAATCTGCTCGGTCGGTCGCCTTCCGTTCTACAGAGGCCCGAGTAGACGGCAAGAGTCGCACGCTCTGTCTCATGCTGTCGCCTGTGCGCGATTGCGACCCCATCTTTCGAGCCACGATCGATCCAGTCTGTATGTTGCACCGTGCCGTCTGGGACAGTTGGATGCCGCAATCTATTTTGCCGTCGGTGCTGGGGTGGACTTCTACGCATGTGCAGTCTTGGGCTCAGGTGCGTGGGCCCATCAGCGCGGCATTCATGTCCTTGCTGCGCGTCGGCTGGGCGGCGGCCAGCATCAGCACCTGGGTCGACGCGGCTACTGGCGCAGTGTATAGGCCGCTGGATTTTTCGCCGTGGTATACCAAGCAAGTGGTTCGGAAAGCAGTTCTGTGGTGGCAGTTCCAGAAGTGTGCTGACGAGCTGCCACATTTGGACAACGGTTTCAACGTCATGCAGTTGAGGAAGTGGATCTATCGAGGACGGCCCACGGCGTCGGAAGGACGTGACTGGCCTACCCTTGGTGCAGAAGAGCGGCGGTGCGCCAGGTCGCTCACCGTCGGCGGGCAATGGGCCAAGCATCGCCGCTTTCACAATAACCCCTGGTATGCGCATTCAGAAGATTGCAACTTGTGCCCTGGGCAAGCTGGCACGCTGTGGCACCGTCGTATGGAGTGTGCTCACCATTGGCCGCAGGCGGAGTTGCCAGCAGCCATTGCCGCGCTAAAGAGGCAGGCGGGCCACCCCAACATCATCGCGCTGGTCGAGCGGCTGCTGCTAGTACGGCCACGAGTGGTGTGGCAGCCACCTCAGGACGAGATCCTGTCCGCTGTCAAGTGGTTGCTGGGGAATGGTGCTATGCCCTTTCACAATGATGAGCTGTTCACTGACGGCACGGCGTTCGACCTTGACATCGGTTACGGCATGGCTGGCTGTGCGGTGGTGCAGGTTCCACTTGGGCCTGGGTGGTTTGACCCTGGTCCGAAGTGCGCCATTCGCGCCCTGGGATCGCCATTGATGGGGATGCTCCAATCCGTAGAAGGTGCTGAGCTTCTCGCCGTGCTCATTCTCCTTCGTCGCAGCTTGGCGCCCATCACGGTGCGGATTGATGCCAGTTACGTGGTTGACGGGCTCCTGGTGCGTGGGCCTGAGGGTACTTGTGGTGCCTCCCACAGCTGGGCTTTCCTGTGGCGGATGGTGTGGTGTGCCATCGAAGATTTCGGTGGGATCGGTCCCGACGGGCTCACCGTGCTCAAAGTTAAAGGACACGGCACTCTGAGAGATGTGGAAGCGGGTCGGCTGTCTCGTTGGGAGCGTCGGGGCAACCTTGAGGCCGACGAGTGGGCCAAGCACGCCTTTCGGCCGTGCGCTTTGGGCGAAGCTGATCGGACCAAGATCAGGCGGTCGCACTTGCTGGTGGACGGCGTTGTGGCCTGGGTGTCCTGTGCTGGTGCCCCTGCGTCAGCCGCCCGTGGCGACATTGACCCTAATGTGGTGATCAAGCTTCCGCCGAAGGTTCGTATCAGCCTCGCGGAGCACGGCTCCGTGGTCGAGGCGAGCTGCTGGCGGTGCTCAAAGTGTGGACGGTACGCCGCCACCGGGAATTTCAAGCGTAAGCTGTTCAGCCTGCCCTGCATTCCACGGCCTGTGACGAGTGCCCCGCGCTCGGCCGACACGTCAGGAGCGAAACGACCTGCAGCAGCGGCGGGGCTTGCGGCGACCGCTGCCGTTGCTGCGGCTGCTTCAGCTGCTTCGCATTTCGGCGGCAGTACGGATGCCCCAGCTGCTAGCGCTGGAGACGACGGTGCTGCTCGGCGCGATAGTGATGACCAGCGGGCGTCAGCAGCGGCGTCGAGCGGTGCAGGCGCGGAGTCGGAGGCCCCAACGGACATGGCGAGGGGCCACGACATCCGCATCACCAACGGCTTCCGCGTGTGTATGAAATGCTGTTATTTCGTTCGTGAACGTGAGGGGCTCGTCCGTGAGCTTGGGAAGGATTGCGCGGGGCACCCTCGCAAAGGAGACCATGCTGGACGAGTTTGACAGCAGCGGAGAGACCTGATTATGTTGGGCAAAGATCCCAAGACTCGGAGGCCTCTCACGGGAGCTTGATTCGGTGGGGCTGACGTGTGGTTGCTGCTGCGGAGTTTCGGCTTCTGGTACATCCACACGTGTGCCTCTGAGTCCTTCTTTTTTTCATCGCACGCTTCGCGTGGCACCCCACTCAGTGTGTGTTGGCTGTGCTTTCACGGCACGTTCTTTGCTGCTGATGGTGTTGTGCACGCTTCTCGTGATCTCCTCCTATGCGAGCCTGATGACATGCTCTGTTGCCCCCGTGACATAGCACACGCTTCGCGTGGTCTAACCTGGACCGTGCTTTGCGCTTCGCGCGACGCTCGCCCGAAGGGTGGAGCTCCGCCGTGCCTTTGCTGTGGCGTGGACTGTGGGGTCCTGCCGTCGCCTTGCATGGTTGATCGGGCCGACGGGCTCGGTTGTGGCGGCCCTGGTGGCTGTCGTGTGTACAGCTTGGCCGTGCACACCTGCACGTTCAAAGAAAAAACGCGCGCACGCACACACGCACACACGCACACACGCACACACGCACACGCGCACACACACATCCACCTACACACGCACACACGCACACACGCACACACGCACACACGCACACACGCACCCGCGCACACACGCACACACGCACACACGCACACACACACGCACACACGCACACACGCACACACGCACACACGCACACACGCACACACGCACACACGCACACACGCACACACGCACACACGCACACACGCACACACGCACACACGCACACACGCGCACACGCGCACACGCACACGCACACGCACACGCACACGCACACCCACGCACACGCACACGCACACGCACGCACACACACACACACACACACCCACGCACGCACGCACACACACACACATACACACACACATCGGAGCACGCAATACTTCAGGTCATTCCATGCATCATTCGGCCAACACATATACACCAATCCGCCGCGCCAGGTTTCGCGCTTCATTGGTGGATATTTTGAGGGCGGTTTTCTTGCCCGCGCTGTCAGGGCCTGCCCGTCTTTTCAGAGCCGCTTCACGCGGGGTGCCGTGCCCCGCTGCTTTTCTCGACGTGCTTGTAGGATCCCGTGCGCAGTGCAGCGCGTTTCACCTTCGTCCTACTTCGTCCTGCCGTAGACAGCCTGCCCGCGCTGGCACCTTGAAAGGTGCAGGTCCGCATGAATGTGGCGCGTGTTTTCTTGCATTGTTCCAGCGAGCCGCCTGACCGGATACACTTCACCCTCCCAACATATCCCACGTTTCTCCATATTTCTTTGTGTTCTGGATGCTCGTCTCCCCCTCCCACTGCCCCCCATGTGTTCCGCATGCGTGCTGTTGGAATAGGCCGATTTGGCCGAGGGCCCGGCTGGCGGTCCGAACGGCGCCTCGCCCAGGGCAGCCCTTTGGCGGGCAACCAGTCGTTGCCAAGCCGCTCGAGCAGAGATTGTGTTCGAGCCTGTCCTCGCGTGCGCTACAGAATTTACGTTGTGCCGACAATGGGTCCGCGATGTGTGAATAAGCCGATTCGGCGAAGGGCCCAGGTGCAGGTGCCGAAGCCTGCTGCCAGCGCCACGGGGCAGACACGTTCATCAGAGCATGTGTCGGGCCGCAGCCAGCTGGAAAAGTAGAGAGATGCTGCGAAGGATGGCAAGAAAAACAACTGCTACGTATTTGTGTGTAGACTCGTCGAGAACATCAATTTGGGGGTAAATCAATTATGTAGTCGATCCCCTACTCGAAGCATAGGGGGAATGGATGTGAAGGACGAGCAGGATATTTGGTGATGCGGACAAACGCCAGCGCGCTAATTCGGACATTCACACCGCGTGCTGCCGCCAGTAGTTGATTCGTCCCCCAGTGGACGGATATATAGGGCAGGGATCAGTAGGAACTTACTGATTTGAGCTCGCAGGGAATAATCAAAAGCAGCAAAGAGGAGCTTTGGACAAGCAGATTCGCGTCTCACGAGGCTTATAGGGAGCCTTTTCCAGTTTCGAAAGTGTGCCTGCATTGTTCCATGAGGGTTGTCTGTTGAGGATGGCCGCAAGAGGGCTTCGAACACGAAGATGCGCCTTTCAATGCTCAGGGCATTAAGGGCCGCCCCTACAGCCTTTGCTGGGTTCGGACCTAAGCCTAAGCACGCGCGCGTGTCTAGGCCGGCCGTCAAGATTGCCCACGAGGGCCCAACGAGGCCTCTAGGTTGTCCCGAGACGGCTCCAAGACGGTCCCAGATGGCCCCAATGCGGCAGTTTGCTAGAGGACGTTACGTAAAACTATCGCGGCCAGAGTTGCTCCACGATCCCACCGAGAGCCATTCAGCAGGCTGCCAAAGGCAGCCCTGAAACCATTGCGGCGGAGCTCGCCGCATGCAGCAGGGAGGCTAAGAGAGTGCCCAGGAGCCAGTTCGGGGGCGTGAGGGAGAAGCGAAGGAGGCAACAGAGATTTTGAGAGGAGTGGGAGGAGGAAGGAGGGAAGAAGAGGGACGTGGAGGGCTTGGAGGAGGCCGCAGGGTTCGGGACGACTGGGGCTCTTCGAATGGCAGCCGTGGGGACACAGAAGGGGGCGGGGTTGTGTACCTTCAGTACATCGCTCGAAGGCCTGGCACTGGTCATGATGCACGTCGTGTTCACCATCTTCTGGTCCGATGCTGCAACATTTGACGTACGGCCACGGCTTGCTAGAACTTAAGCGCGCGACGCGTGCGATTGGTTCTAGAGTATTTATACATATGTGTAGATGTATGCATGCATGCGTGCATGCATGCATGTCTGTATGTCTGTACGCAAAAATAGATGTATGTGTGTATGCATGTAATGTTGTATACATATGTATGTATTCGTGTACGGCTGTGTGTGCATATGCGTATGCATGTAGGTATGCATGTAGGTGCGTATGCATGTAGGTATGCATACATGCACGCACGTATGTATGTACGCATGCATGTATGTATGCATGCACGTGTGTATGCATGTACGGATGTATGCATGTATGTATGCATGCATGCATGCATGCATGCATGTGTGTGTATGTATGTAGGTACGTTTGTGTGCGAACTCCCCGATGGCGCACCGCAGCTCACCGAGGTCGAAGTGCAGCGCTAGCGGGCCTGAAGCGCCGCCAGCACCTCCCGCTGCTCGGAGGGTGGGAGAGGGGCAGCCTCCCCGTCACATAGTCTTTGACTTGTGTACGGGTTCTCTCCCCTGAGCAGCTTTCCACGGCGACACTTTGCCTGCGCATTGGCAGGCTCGCCTTCGCAGGGCAGGCACAGCTTCTTGGCCCGTCCACTCGAAAAGACACCGCAATTGCCACAAAACACAAAACTTCCAGCGCGCATGAGAACGTGCTGTCGGCTGGGTGGCCCAGGCGTGGTCCTGGCGGGCAGAACGAAGCGGGCCACTCTGGAATGAGCATTCCTGCAGGGGGTGCGAAAAAGGGCGCGCATCCCCTGAGTCGTGCCCGAGAAACGGCCGCACTGCTGACACATCCACGCCTTGCAGTCCCAGGTAAGGTGGTGGGGTCGGGTCCCAGGGGGAGGTCCCTCCCGAGCGCGCCTCCGATGACGGACCCCACTCCGAACCTGGGCCTTGCGTCCAGTGGTGTCCTTGAACGTGCCAACTTGCATAGTCATGCACGCCACAAAATTGCACATACTGATAGAGTCCTTGGACCGCTGCTGCCAAAGCTGCCTCAGCCCGTCGGGGAGCCCGTGGAGGGCCGCGCCCTTCCTAGCCTGGAGGTCCGCCTGCGCATTGCCCAGGACGTCGAGGCGGTCTTGGCCGACGAGGGTAACGGGGTCGCGGCCCGAGTGGGCCTTCACCTTGACCACCTCGAGCGCGCCTAGGTCTTGAAATTCATCGCGCACTATCATCCAGATGCGGCGCCAAAGATCCGCGTGGGATCTCCTGGCTTTGGTGCACCGGGCCTCTCCACGCTGGAATCCTCGATGCACAGAGTAGTTGTCCACGGCAACCTGAAGGGGGGCTCGCCCGTGCTGGAGGACCCTCAGGAGGCCCATGAGCTCCGCTCTCATAACCGAGCCCGACAGACGGGGTCCCCCCAGGGTGTCACGACCCGCCTTGACGACACGACCGTCCTCGTCGAGAAAAGCGAAACCCCAACCGAACGACTTGCACCCTGGGGGGCCGATTCCCGATCCATCGGAGTACGCGAGCCCCGACGTGAGGGGATCGTCGCCGAATTCAGGGTCTAGCCCCTCACTGCTGTCCTGTATCAGGGAAAACGGGTCGTCAACGGGATGGGCGGTGATGCCTCTCGAAAACAGGAGGGAGGTGGGCGAGGAGTCCGCCGCTCTCTGGGCAATATCTGGCACCTCCTCTGCAGCAATACTTCGTGCATCGATTAATCCTGGGCACTTGCAGAAACGGTGATGCTGGGTGCCCTCTGGCTCTTGGCAGAGTTGGCACTCTCGAGTGTCGCTATGTCCAGCCTTCCAAACCTTATCCTGGGCCCATAACGATTTGCACACAACGGCTAAACTGGCCTGCTGGCGCCCAGGGAAGTTTCGTCGCTGTCGGAGGGCAGCGCGGATGGGCTCCAAAAGTGGCCGAACAAAATTGAGGTTCCTGGCAGAGGCCCACGCAGTGAGTTCGATGGCTTCGAGCCTCGCCGTCTTCAGCCCCTTCAAGGAAGTGGGGGCTGTGCGGCGGAGGTCTATGCAAAAACCAGTGTGGGTGATGAACGTATGATAGGCTGGCCAATGCCATCCTAGCCTGCCCAGCGTGGCAAGCACTGCCGACGCTGGTCCGCGGACCTGCCTCCAGCGGTTCGCAAGCTGTCGTGCTGCTAAAGCCTTGCTCGCTTGTCTCCATCCAGCGCTGAGCTCTGACAGGGCGTGGTCGTTGAAAACTGAAATGGCCCACTGTACCAGCGGCTTGATGCATGCTTCACTCACTGGGTCAACGTGACGGAGCCAACGTCTCATGGTGCGGTCCTTGCCTATGCCAGCACCTCCCAGACTGCTCGCCACAAGTTGCCTCGTTCTGTTGAGCTTGCTGGGGTCCATGCCTAGGCAGGAAGTGCCGTAGGTGAGGGAGGGGATAAGGCCGCATCGGACGACCTTGCCGACTCGCGCCCCCTGCCGAGCGAGGGCCGTTATCTTGCGCTTCCTCCTAAGGGCAACCTGCTCACGGCCCCAAATTCGCCCTCGGGCTCTCACAATATTGCCGCCAGCATTGTCAACGCCAAGCTGGTCACTACAGGATTTAAACACGAGGCCCAAACGGCCTGCCCAGTGCTTACACGCCTGGCGTGCTCGGCGAGAGGCTGTCAGAACAAAACCCTTGCCTGCGGCGCCGCCGTCTCGGGGGCGTGAGACGGGGAGGCCGTCGCCCTCGACCTGGTCGATGTAGTAGGCGACCGCGTCTCCCAGCTCCTCGGATATCGTGATGGGGTCCGATCTGCGCTGCAGGCTGGCATCGTCGACATACAAGGTGATGTACATGTGCGGCCAGCGCGCCATGACGTTGTCCAGAGCCCTGATGACCACCATCGTGAGGGCTCTCGTGCCCGCGGTGCTGCCAACGACCACCGCGGAGTATGTGGAGCCACTGCGCGAGCTGGTGACTCCCCTGAAGGCAATACTCCTGGCACATGTGAAAATTGAAATCTCCATCTTCAACAACTGTCGTGGAAATCCGACCTCGTCGGCAATCTCCCAAAGCTTGTACATAGATGTGTGTTCGAAGGCCTTTTCCAGATCCAGGACCGCCGTGGCTGGGGTTATGCCTTCGAGCCTGCTGGGCCCCTCGTCCACGAGCATCTGGTGCCAAAGTGCTTCTCCAGCGCCGCCGCCTGGTCCTGCTGCATCGTAGGGCCTCCTGATCATATTGTCCCAGGCATAAAAGAGGGTGCATGTGCCCTCTCCGCCACGCGCATGGGGGAAGCGAGACGCCCCAGCGGCCTGGTTCCTCCTTTAGGCTTCTGCAGCAGGAAATAGATGAGATATCGGATCTGAGGCGGCCAATGGGCTCTCCGTGAGACGTAGTGCATGAAGTCAATGAGATACTGCACCGCGCCATCAGAGAGCCAACTCCACCAACGAGGGTGCCAGCAGTCGATGCCGATGCCAGTGTGTGGCTTGAATGCCCGACACATTGAACGCAAACGTTCTGGCGATAGGTTGGCGATACCTTCAAGCAGCAGCCATCTGCGGGTCTTCCAATTGAAAGGTGGTGAATCCATTCTTCTGTATTGCAATCGGTGGTGACGCCCACTAGGTAAGTCGGTGTATGTATCCTGCACCCTCTCGAGATGCATCCTTGAGTCTGGATATCCAGCTCTTGGACCGTTCTGCAGCTTGGGCCCTCTCTATGACCTGGGCTTCTCGCTGGGCCTCTCGCTGCAGCTCCATGACGGGAACGATGTCGCGGGCCAGGGTGTCTATGGTATAGTCGGCTTGTAGCATGACCGCCAAACGTCTGAGTAGCTCTAGTGACCTCTCACCCAGTGGTGAGAACCACCGATCCGATCCCATTAGTACCCGTCGCTGTAGGTTAGTCCACCTGGCCCTGAATGGGGCCCAGGATCGTGCCGACAGCGCCGCTTGCGAGATGAAGACGATATCGCTGGCACGGGCTGCAATCCATCGCCAGCAACGCGACTGAGGTGTCCCTCGAGGCCGTGCGTGGGGCTGAGGCTATGTATGTAGGTACGCATGTATGCATGTATGTATGGCATGTGTGAGTGTATGCATGTATGCAAGTATGCTTGTATGCATGCTTGCATGCACGTATGTATGCACTTATGTACGTATGCGTGTATTCATGTATGCAGGCATGCATGTATGCGTACCTGCATGCATGTGCGTATGCATGCATGTGTGCCTGCATTTATTCATGTGTATATATATGTGTATACATACATGAATGCATGTGTGTATGTATGCATGCAAATATATACACACATGTTTGCAGGCATGTATGTATGCATGTAGGTATGGATGCGCGTATGTATGCATGTATGTATTATGCTTGGATGCATGCATGCGTGCATGCATGTTATTTATGTATGCATGTATGTATGTATGAGAGAGTGTGATCCACCGCCGATTCGCTGTCGACAGTTCCCCCCCCTCTGCCTCCAGAACCCAGGTGCCCCCCCTCCGATAATCCCCCTTTCCCCTGCTCGAACGCCTCCCCTCCCCCCTCCCCCGGCAAAACCTCCCACCCTTCCCACCCCCCACCCCCGTCCAGAAAACTGAGGGGGGGTTCACTATCGGTTCGAACCCCCCCCCGTCTGGAAAACCCAGGGGGGGTCACTACCGGTTCGACCCCCTCCCCTTCGTCGCCGCCGGCAAACCACTTCTGGGTCCTCACCTCCGTCTTCCCCACCACTTTCTTGTGTGTTGCTGGCGAGCAGTGGCGACCCGAACAGGGGAAGAAGCGGGAAAAAGAAGAACAGTTACCTCCAGCGCCCAGAGGGCTGGTGGGATTCAGCGGCTAGAGGCTGGGACCGATGTAGCATATACACGGACCGAGGGCGGCTCATTTCAAGAATGGGGTTCTCCTTTAAACCTTCCTCCCACTTAGTGACCAGCGGTTCAACTTTGCGCAACAGTTGCACGGCTGAGGGGCGGTTCCTTGTCAAAAAGGGAATGGTTGGACACTTCGTTGCCCTTGCCGACCCTTGCCGCATTCCTTACTACATCACCCGCTAGGAGGATGCACTGCATAGCCAGGCTTCCGCCCGATCGACGGACCGCAAGGGTGTTCGTCTTTCAGGGGGGCGCCTCGTGTCGTGAGAAGGGAGAGGGGACGTGGGACGGCAGTGTGTATCTCTCAGCATTCCTCCTCCTGAAGTTCGTTGCATCTTCGGGGGACCTTGCCTGTCCCCAAAGTTGATGTTTTTTTTTAACGCCCGATGCGGGCTCGATCCGGAGTCGAGACGGATTTGGCGTGAAGTCGATGCGGATTTGGCACGAATTCGACACATATCCGACGAGTTCGACATGGATTCGACATGGATTCGACGCGGGTTCGACACGGGTATGGCCGCGACGGGACAGACAAGGTCCCCCGAGGATACAATATATGACCCTCCCGCGAGCTTTCGGGAGGGCTGACCCTCCGGACCGTCCGCATCCACCACGGCGTGGCGGAGGTGCGGGCCGGGGCCACGCTGCTCTTCGACAGCGTCCCAGAGTCGGAGGAGAAGGCTCGCGCCTTCGTTCTCCTTGGCTGGGCAGGAGTATGAGGAGGGGGGGTGGGTCATGCAGGCTTAGGACGAAGTCTGGTTGACCCAGAAGGGGGTCCAGCGAAAAGGGGCTGTTGCAGCAGATTTCGTGCAACAAATTTGAGGGGTTGCAACTGATCTGGGGTGTGCAATGAATACATTCCGGTGCGCAGATGTCTTGCTGGGCTTTCGCGTGCAATGCACGAGTTGCAATACAATGCAATAGAATTCTCAGGTGCAACACGTTTGCAATCCACTTGCCTCAAATCTATTGCAGCACCCCCGCCCCCTTTCAGCTGGACCCCGTTTTGGGTCGACCAAGACATCTCTTGACAGCGTTCGTCTGGAGCGCTCTCAGACTGTTCCAAGGCGCTTCTCGGGACGGCAAGGACTCCACAACACGTCCTCCATATCCGCGAGCTCTCTGGGAGATTGCCGATGGTCTCCTGAGCCGAGTGTATCTCGGTCTGCCCTCGTTGCGCAGCGGGGGATGAAGAGCGTGTCCATGTCAGTGACATCGCCACCGAGCGCGTGTCCGAGCGTACATATGTTCGCTCGTTCCTCTCCTACCGGAGAGGGCTTGGGGGGAGTGGGGGGAGGAGGGGGAGAGAGGAACGAGAGAGTGAGAGAGAGAGGGAGAGAGAGGAGAGGAGAGGAGAGGAGAGGAGAGGAGAGGAGAGGTGAGGTGAGGGGAGGAAAGGATGGGTCAGGAGGGGGAGAACTGATGGAGAGCAGGAGGAGGAGGAGGCCAGATTGGACGATGCGGAAGGTGAGGAGGGAAGGGAGAAGGGGGAAGGAGAGGGGACCGTGAAAAGGAAGAAGCTGAGGTGGGATCCGACGGGGGCCAGAGGAGGAAGAGGAGGAGGACGATAAGGGAGAAGGAGGATACGGAGTCATCGCTGACCAGCATCAGGATTATGACGGTTGCTGCTGCTGCTGTTGTTCGTATTTCTGTTGTTGCAGCATATTGTGCTGATGGTGGTGATGGTAATGGTGATGATGATAATGATGGTGGTGATGGTGATGGTGATGGTGATGATGTTGCTGATGATGATGATGCTGATGATGATGATGATGATGATGATGATGATGATGGTTGGTGGTGCTGATAGTGATGGAATGGTGATGATGAGTATGCTGATGACTGATGATGGTGATTATGATGATGAGGAGGCGGATGTTGATTAGGAACAGGAGGAGGATGAGGATGAGGACGACGCCGACGTCGACGACGACGGCGATTGTGACGATGACGATGATGCTGATACTGATGATGATGGTTATGGATAATGATGATAATAATGAAGAAGATGCTGACGACGATGACGACGACGACGATGCTGATTATGAGTGTGATTACGATGCTGATGCTGCTGATGATGATGCTGATCATGATGCTGATCCTGATGCTGATGCTGATGATGATGCTGATGGTGCTGATGATGCTGATGATGAGGAGGAGAAGGAGGAGAAGGAGGAGAAGGAGGAGGATAATAAGGAGGATGGCGACGACCCATTGATTGTGACAAATTGCTGAGATTCCGCGTATACACGGTGCTCCAAGCGTTGTTAATTTTTCGGCTGCTGGCACATGCTCAGCTGCTTCTGTTGCCTCTTTTGCTGGCACATGTCCAGCGTCGTTAATTATCTGCAGTCTCGTGCGCTGTGCCCCAGCCTCGTTCACACCGCCCTCTGGACTTTTCCTTGCGGGCCGCGAATCAAAAAAAGTATACACGGTGCTCCTCTCTTCCTCGAGCGCTTTCGACTGTATGCGCCCTGAGGGCCTTCGCAGCCAGAGAGGCCACGCGGTTGGGTCCTCTAGGGGCTGCACTTGGGGTACGCGGGTGCCTGTAGGAATGGGTGGCTTGAAGGCGTGTCTGCAGGCAGGGGGTTGCAGTGTCTATCGGACAGGCAGGGCCTGTAGGCGTGCCTGTAGGCAGGACGGGCTGGCAGGCGTGCTTGTACGCAAGGAGGAAGGGAATGCCTATAGACAGGATGGTTCTGTAGGTGTGCCTGCAGACAGAGAGGAAGGGAGGACGTGCACACGGGATGTGATGGCCTGCAGGCGTGCCCGTAGGCAGGGAGAACGCCAGAAGGCAGGGAGGGCCTGGAGGCAGAGAGGGCCTGCAGGCCGGGGGGGTCGTGGGCAAGGGAGACGATCCGTAAGCAGCAGGTGACCTTTAGGCGACGGCCGCGGGGGGTCGAACTCGCGCGAATGCGATAGACGACGGGGCGGCGCGCCCAACGTTGGTCGACGCCGCCCGAACGCAGACCCGACGCGCAATCTCGGTGAGGTCGCAGAGATCTGGACGCTGCGTGCGCAATGGCATTGGGAGTTTGGCGCCATCTCAAACTCCCGTCGCATCGCGCCGCGCCTATCAGCCGCACCTGGGCAGCCAGCTCGCCCACGTCCGGCGTGTGCCACACGTCCCACCGCAAGGGCCCGCCCCGGTGCAGCACTCGAGCAGGTGCTGGAGGCAGCCCGCCCGGCCAGCGCACAACGGGTGTACGCCTCGGGCAGACGCTCCGCGGGCAGGCCTCGGACTCCGACCAGGATCGTGCAGCGACGCGCGCGACGCGCCATGCACAGTGGAAGCGTCACGGGGCTCGCCGCCAGGATTCGGAGGAGGAGCAAGTACCCATACCGCTACCCTTGCCCCGTTTTCCCCTTTTTGGGCCTCCCGGGAGGCCCTCGTCGCCGCCGCTGGGTTCGCCTCGCAATCCTGGTCGGAACGCGCCCCAGGAGAGGTCCGGGGAGCAGCGGTATCGGTACCTCTTGGTTCCCCCAAGGATGCCCACCCCGGGGCGGGGGGCCAGTCGCAGTGCAACGGGAGGACCTCCGCGAGGGGCCAGCTCTGGAGCCGGATCTGCCCGACGGCACGACATGCTTGCCTGCCCGGGGCGTGGCTGGTCTGCCTGCGGGCTGTGCCAGGCGGGCCCAGCGCAGGGAAGCGCGCCTAGCCCCCGCCCGCGCGCCCGCCTGGGCCACGATGGCAAGGCCGTCCGCCGGCGCCCCCACCAGCACGGGAGTCGTCAACACGCGTGTTTCTCAGAGGCGGCGGTAGGGGCGAGTAGCCCAGGGGAGAGCAATACATGTGTTCAGGTGCGCCGCTGGTCTAGGTCGTTTAGGTCTTCGAAGAGGCTCCCGGGCGAATGCGTGTCATGCCCGCCCCTGGGCCATTCGCCCCTATGGTCGCTGCCCAGTCTCCGAGAACAGGCGTGCGAATGCCCCGATTCCACGGTGCGTGGCCGGCTGTAGGCCCAGCGGAGTTTCTGCCACGTCCCGGCGCGCCCAGTTTCATGGTGGCGTGGGCGTGGGCGTGGCTGGCCAGGAGTGTCGTTCCGTGGAACGCAGGGGCCTCCGCGCGGGCAGGAAATTGCTCCGCCTGCGCTGGCAGACCAAACCTGTGGTCTGTCAGCTCCGTCGCCAAGCGCCGGGCGGAGTCGCGGAGTTTTGCGCACACGCGGGCGAGCAGGGGCTCAAGTGACGGGTCGGCGCCGATGGCGCCCGGCACGTCCACACATCGCGCCACACGCTAATGCGTCCAGCGGCGCCCCCCCGACAGCCACAGCGGCGGCCCGCTTGCTGAAGTGTGTGGCGGTGAGGAGCAGAGGAGGAGGAGGAGGAGGAGGAGGAGGAGGAGGAGGAGGAGGAGGAGGAGGAGGAGAGAGGAGGTGGAGGTGGGAGGAGGAGGGAGGAGGAGGAGGAGGGGAGGGGGGGAGGAGGGGGAGGGGGGCAGGGGGGGGGGGAGGGGGGAGGGGGAGGGGAGGGGGAAGGGGGAGGGGGAGGGGGAGGGGAGGGGGGGGGGGGGAGGGGGGGGGGGAGGGGGGGGGGGTGAGGGGGGGAGGGGGAGGGGGGAGGGGGAGGGGGAGGGGAGGGGAGGGGAGGAGGAGGAGGAGGAGGAGGAGGAGAGGAGGAGGAGGAGGAGGAGGAGGAGGAGGAGGAGGAGGAGGAGGAGGAGGAGGAGGAGGAGGAGGAGGAGGAGCCCGCGCAGCCTGCCTCAAACCTGCCGCTTCCAGCCTCTTCCCTTGTCCTAATCCTTCCTGCTCTCTCTGGACTGGTGCCTGTGCTCGTTCAGCTGGCCCTGCCGCGGTGGCGCAGGTGCTCTATCGCTCGGACCACTCCAGTCGACGTAGAGGTCGCCACGCCGTCGTCGAGCAGAACCTTCCCTCATCGCGCTCCCTCCCTCCTGGCAGCCCGGCGGGGAGAGGAAACCGAGCTGAAGGCCTCGGCTGCCCTGAGCGCCGTGACGAACAAGGCCCGCGGGGGAGGGAGGGCGGGAAGAAGGGACGAGGACGGGGAGGGAGGGCGTAAAAGGAGGGAGGCGACGGAGGAGGAAGTGGAGGATTGAGAAGCGGGGTGAATGCGGAGGAGGAACTGCATTCGGGAGCATCTCGAGGAACATGATGCAGAAGGAGGGAGGATGATAGGAGGAGGAGGAGGTGCCAGGGGAGAAAGAGGAGGAACAGGAGGACGAAGAGAAGGAAACCTTGTCAACTCATGGCGTTGCAACTTGACGAGAAGGGTGCGTTCGTTCAGCAGGTGGGCATCTTGTGGTACGGAGGTCGCTCCGCCTATTTTTGGCTCAAGAATGATGCGGAACGAATTCCCGCCATATTGTCATGGCAGCGGAGCCCGTGGTTCGCCCCGCGGGTTCGAGAGCTGAAGTGGCGGCGGCGGCAGCTGCAGCTGCCCCCGCGAAGCCTGGAACCAATGATCCGATTCACGATGTGTTGCTACCTGAAATGCAAAACGCTTGGTGCAACCTCGGTACGGACCGCATCGCGGAGCTGTGCAATGCGGGTTACGAGAGCGAGAGTTTCAGGCACGTGAGCACGACGCTCAGCGCCACTCACGAAGGTATGCATTTGATGTGTCGTGCGCGGCGCAGTGCCACACAAGGCACCAGGATTGTTGGCAACGACGAAGTATACACAATGTTGCAGATTAACTGGCAGACGATTCATACACAATGTTGATGTTGAGCTGCACAATGGATGGTCTCGTGATTCCCGTTACCCATTAAAACATTTACTGGGGTGGACAGCTCGTTAACTGAAATGGGCGCGCGGGGAAACAATCCCAGCATCAATCGCGCACCCCCAGAGCTTCTTACCAAGATTGCTGGGGCAATCCAGCCCGCAAGGGTCGCCAGGGCAGGCGGGTGTGGAAACCGGCCCGCGAGTTCATGCAGAGTTGTCCCACAGTTCAGATACGTTCCCACCAGATGACAGGACCAGGTTCACACAATGGTGCGACAAGGCGTTGAATGGGACCGCCCAAGTGAAACACGGTTACAGCAAGCCACCAATAATTGAAAAAAAACAACCCAAACCGTGGATGGGGCACTTTTAGGTGACGAGGAGGGCGATTTGACAAAAGTCATGAACGGGAGGTAAACACTGAGCGGGCACACCAAAGCGTCGGACATCTAAACAGGCGGTGACCCAAAAAGGGGAATCTGAGTTGGACGAAGACGCTTCTTCCAAGTTTGGCGAAGACCTCTGGTATTTGTTAGACGACAAATTTGAGGGGCAGGAGCACCGGGGTAAGCTTAGGGGCCTGTCTGACGGAGATATTTTGGTGGCCGGCCAACAAATCTACAAATGGTATGTTGCGGTTACCAGGGTGGCTTTTCGCACAGGATAATGTGTCCGTGATACCCAGGAAGCCGAAGAATTTGACTGACAAGTTTGTGCAGTTTGGCCACTCGAGTGCGCGTGAGTAGAACCATTGGAAATGTATGAGGCAGCCCATTCGTTACTTCTGCCTCTCGGGATTGCAGCCAAGAGAGTCGCTGTGACCCATGCAGGCGATTGGTTTGATAAATGGCAGCAGGGTTGCTCCAACGCCCTTGAGTCGTTGAACATCGACACGCGCCAAAATCCTTTCGTTTCGTGCGAGGATTGGGCAAGGCAGAAACAGGCTAGACGCCACGGAGCACGCAGATGCGATGGACATTGCCCAGTCTCACAATGGCGACAGTAGAAGTTTGGACGCCACTGCAGACGACGCAGGCGATCACGACGAGGCGGGTAACTGGTGGCCCTGGACTGGAAGATGTGGCCGAGACGGCGTCGCGAGCGAAATCAGTCCAGGTGCGTAGATGTATGGTGGTGATTTGTGTTGCTATGACTGAAATCAGGCGGTAAAAGGAGAGGATTCTCGCGAAGACACCAGCGCGGCCCACAAGCCCCTCGTCGGAATGTCTTTCCGCGCTGAATGTCAAGGTCCGCGCCGACATATGGAGTTAACCGGAGGGTGCAGGGCGAGGATAGCAGGGGCTGTCGAGCAAAACATGGAGGCAGGCCAGATGGCGGCCGACGGCCGAACGGGACGTCATTCGGAACTTGTGAGCCCGTGGTCAATTGGAGCGAACCCGACCGACATACTCGAATTTGATTAGATCGAGGACGAGCCAAAGGAGGCTGGATGTGGCCTGTGCTGGCGTGGACCAGCATAGATCACGGCGCATTTCGCCTCGTGCCTCCAGGAAGCTGTGGGCCAACATGGAATGCTTGCCCGCGCAGAGTCACTGAGGGCTTGAACATCGGCCATGTGCTCGGAGCGGTTGGGGGAATCCAGAGGGGCGCGCAACGTCGCCATTAAAAGAAACCCACCGAGCTACCCACTGAATCTGTGAAGAGCGCCAAAATCAGGCGTGGTTCGAATTTTTTGGGGCGCGCGAGGCATGTGGGAGCGCTGCTGGGGCGCAGCCAGTTGCCAGAGGTGACGCGCGTGTTGTTCACCGAGAACGTGGGAAAGCAGCGGCGTGGGGCGATGCGTCAGGGCGCGAGCTTGGCCCAGGGCCCACGTCGGAGGATGGGGGGGGGGGGGGGGGCGATTTAGGAATCGCGGGGGTCTACGAGAAAGCGAAGGGGGGGGGCGCCGGGCGGTCGCTGGCCGCGCCCCCATCGGCGCGAGGGGGGTCGTCATCATTGAAGGGGGGCGAGGCCAATCCTGAGTGCCGATCCTGGCTGGTGGCTCAGCAAGTTAAATCCAATCCCGAAGAGAGGGGCATTTTTGCAGCCGCGCCTGCGCTGACGGCCCAACGCTGCGATTCGCTGTGGCTGTGACCGGCTGGGCATGGCATGGTCGCGAGGGCGCGAGATGGGCCGCCGCCGTCGCCGGCAGACGTCGAACTGGCCAACTTCTACGCCGTGGCCACAAAGATAATGCAAGTCAGGCTGCCCGAGGAAGATCGTGGACCTAGCGTGCGCGGCAGATTGCGCGCGTCGGCGAGCGGCATTCGACCCGCCGCCTTTCTCTGAACAAGATTGACTCCAGGCTTGCTCGCTATATTGATTTTGGCCACGGTGGGCATCGCCGCGTGGTTTTCAACGCGGGGCGAGGCGGATCGGGCACGCCGCGCATGGGGGCGCATTTGCTTCCCTGGGCAATAGCGCTGATCACGAGTTGTTCTAAGGGCAATTTCGAAGGAACGTTGAAGTTTCAAATCTGAAGATGACCCGGAACAGGGCCCAGATCTTCGAAGGCGATCAGGGTTCTGGTTTGCGGCGCGGGGCGAATTGGGCGCATGCAAAGGCAGTTGCTAAATAGTTGGGGGCGGAGCAGTACGCGGGGCGATGTGGGATGCCAGGCGAAAAGCAAGCCCACTCAGGAAACGAGGAGTCCCCAGCGAGTCAGGAGGTCAAGAAACACCACTCCTGAGTCGCGAGGGTTTTTGATTTCGCACTGGGCCGCCAAGACATGCAGTTCCCAGGTTCAGAGCTCGCGCCTTCCATGCCAGCCCCAGCCCGAGGGGCATGGCCAAGTCTTGTACAAGTAGGCAGGTACTTCAAGGACACGGACAGGCGTGGGCATCCGAATTTGCACAGGAACGCCCCGGGGAGCTCGCCGCGCGGACTGACGCCGACTATGCCGGATGCAGGGAAGCACGCGCATCGCCTTGCGGAGGAACAGTAATTCTAGGATCATTCTTGATAGAGCCGTGGAGCTCGTTGCAAGGGCAGTGGCGGCATCTTCTGAAGAAGGAGGGCACTGCGGAATGGTGAAAGGCGGCTCAGATGCGTCGGAACAACGAGCGCTTTTCAAAGGTTTTGACGTTGATTGCGGCACCCCCTTGAAAGAACGGTGCCGGCGCAGCCGCAGCCATTGCGGGTGGGCGAGAGGTAGCTAGGAGATAGTCAGACGCATCGATGTTTGCGGCTAAGGTTATGAGACAGGCGCGGCGAGGAAATATCAAAGCGACCAACGTTGGAATTCATGAGACCCTTGCAAATGCTTGGATCATATGTGTGAGCAGGGCAGCAAGTCTACGCATCTGCGGTTTACCAATCAACGCCTGGTCTAGGGGAGACATGAGGTGGCGTCCGTTAGGAGTGTGGGATCAATCCTTATCATGGCTTGTCTCTCGAACCGATGGCCAGGAACTTGGGTTCTGGATCGGTTGAGATCCAGGTCCTCGTCTACACGATTGTAATGTAAACGACAGAATATGTGAACCACCATGCATGACTTGGTGCGTGGCGACATTCTATATTGGTGTATCGCGTGTTACGAGGCCCCTGCACGTCTGCGCCCCAATCGTAGCCGCCTTCTGCTTGTACCAGTGATGCTTCCAATCGCTTGCTTTTCAAGTGCTCTGCTGGTGCGGAGTCCTGGCTTCGCTGCGTTGCCTACTGTTTTCGCTAACGCGTTGCTCAAACGCTTGTGCTATTCCTATCTCGCCCGGCTCCTCAATCGGCTTATCAGCCGGGGATGCGCGTTGAAACACAGCGTTGCGATTGGGCTAGGAGCGCGCATCCGTGCAGCAGCTAGGCATACTGTGGTACGGTACTCGCCCCGTCGATGCCTGGCTCGCGTGCTATTGCCGTCTCGTGAAAAAAGGTCCTGCCCGATTTTTAGGCCTCCCTGTTCCTCTGCCCCACTGCCCCTTACAGTCCTCCCGCTGCTTCGCGTGGAATGTGCTACAGAGCCAAGTGCAAAGCAGCATGCTTAGCAATAAGAGGCATCCCCTGCAGTGCGTGCTCGTCGGGTTGCGCGCCAGTGCTTGTCGGCCCAAGATGCTGCCGCTCCCTCGGCTTCCATTGGCCTCCACGCCAGGAGGTAGGGACAGCGGCGATGCACTCCTGGGCACTTCCACAATGATGGTACGTACCCCATTTCCAAGGCCGGGAGGGAGGAGGGGATAACTGGTGCAAAAAAAGTGAACGAAGATGGGGTTGGGCTGTTTGTTGCTCGTTTCTCCATTTATAGGTGACAGAACGCTGGAGCCTCATCTTGAATTGTTGTGTG